TTGAGCAATGTTCAATAATGCTCCATGGTCAAACAAGAAATCAGATCCCAATATCATATCATGGCGGATATCAGGAGACACTACAAATGTATGCAAGAATGAACGCTCTCCAATGCAGCATACAATATCCACAGCACCCAGAACCTGGAGTCCCTCACCATTAGCCGCACACAAACGGGGAGCAGCTTGCAAGGGCACATCACCATACGTGGACAAAAATGTTTGCTCATGCAACATAGAAACACAGGAACCAGAGTCAATTAACGCCGTTACACACTTGCCTTGAACATGGAGATCTAGCGTAGGGACTGACGATACAGCCTCGATACGTACTGCATCTGTTGGCTCCTCGTGAACGACTGGGAGTTGTCCCACACCACCAGTCGTACTCAGTTTCCCGAGCGCCAAGGGTTGTGTGGGCAATCTAGAGCAAAATGGCCAGGTTGTCCACAACCACAACAAATCGGTGGTTCCACCTGACCACCACGACCATACGAATGTCCACGACCACTGCTACTACTATGAGGCTGATCAAATTCGAAACTTGCTCCTACAGGAACCTGTGTGCGTGGAGCAACAATTTCCAAACAGCTGAGTCTCTTTTCGAGGTCGGTCAACCTGCGATCAAGTTTCTCGAGCGCCTGAGCTAGTTGATCACGCACTCCGGTGTCATTAGACTGGTGCAACTCTGATGCACTGGCATGTTCGTCAGACGGTATCTTGAACGGACGAGGTCGAGGGGACCTGGTCTTCTTTCCGCCTTTGGACTTGCCCATCTCGATATCTCACTGCACTATCAATGGCCCAAGCTACAAACATTTGTAGTTCAAAAAAACTTTTGAAAAATGTTACAAAAAAATTGACCTACACAAAACATTCTGGTTACGTCACACGGATGTAGTGCACAGGACATGACGTCAACAGTGTACTTGCTAAGTATGCACGCACACTCACGTGCGCAAAATATTTTTGTGAAAATGTAGCCCTTTCTACACCAAACAAAACTGTTACTCCTGCACAGCGAACGATCAGTCAAGGAGTAAAGAATGGAAAACGAGACGAAGGATAGAATGACCAATACTTGTAAATTAGAACTTAGTCTGTGGGCTGGTCTCCCGAGTAGCTGGAACTGGTCTCAGACTCTCTGGAACTTGTCGACTCTGCAACTTGTCTCTCCTGCGGAGGCGTCTTCCCAGCCGAGGACAAAACCGACGACTATTTTTCCGCTGCCACCATTGTAACTCGTATACTATCAGCACTCAAAGCACATACTTGTTGTTACGTAAGTAGTTATCAATATTCGTTCATTGTCTCACAAGGAGAAGAAGAAGACAAGGCAGTGCGAGTATGCGCACTGCTATCCATGCATTCCTACGGTGTACTATTTATGTGTATACAAATTACGTGTCATAAAGTATCCATGCTACACAAGCCAAGTTTCAATGGAGGTTTTCAGGGCACATTTTCCAGAAAAAAATTCCTCCACAGCTTTGAGCATCCGCGTCATTCCGCAATCCAATAAAGCGCTCACACACGTTCACAATTGCTCAAGAAGGTGATATGCAGTTACAGCTCCTCGTTAGGTGATACTAGGTGGGAGGGGAACTCGCGCGCCGGACGGGGCGAGATGCTGGGCGTCATTACTGCTCCGATAGTCATTTTCTTACATTCTCAGTGTTCTTCGATGGCTGCCTTGGACCAGGGAGTATTAAAATACTGGTATTTTACTACTCCCTGCCACCGGTATTTTACTACTCCCTGCCTTGGACCAAGGAGCCCCACATTAGCAATGCGTGCACATGCTACGAGATTGAGTTTAATAATAATCATAATCCCATGTAGGAGCGGAGTACAACAGCTGCATTGTGCTCTCCATATTAGGTCTTGGCGATGTCCTCAGCACTACAGGCCAATATCCTACGATCATGTGCCCATTCGATAGTCGTCCGCTGGTGGGGCGCACCCGCCAAAGCAGACAGCACGCATGTGTAAGCCTGTTCTATCTGAACTGGAACTGGAATACGGAACTGGAATAATGAATTGGAACTCAGGCAGGGCCGACTAGTGTGGTATGGCCGGTACTTGCAACTTGAATTTTTTTACTAATTCCAGCATTCACGAAATGTCCAGTGTGCAAATGTACAAATAAGCTATCCTTGTACAGCCCTCACTGGAGTCTCTGCCTAGCTCCTAACCTGTTCTTATTGTCAAGTGTGGACTTGTTAGCTACAAAAAATTACACGGGTTCGCGTACAGGGCGGGTCAAGAACCGCCTTTCTGCTTCCATGGGACACCCCCACCCCATGGTAAGGCGTCAGATTGCTGCTCCTGAACGGTGGGGGATAGATCAGATCATCTTACCAGAGGGCCAAAAGTCGAAATCCCATTTGCCACATCCATGTTTTCCTCCTGCCAGGCCACGAGTTCTCAATTCACTGTGGGTCGCACCACGGCTTGAAAAAATCCTTCCGCTTCCAAGCAGGACTTGAATCTAGCACCTCTCGTTTCTCAATCATGGTCTTAGACCAACCCACTGTGCCTGCCTGCACGTAGTTGGAAAATCTGTTGCTAGCGAAATGTGTAGACTGTAGGTGAGACCAGCAGATATGATGCATAGAGCTAGAGAAGTGTCCTGCCGTGATACCGATATCGGCCATGAGAAAATGATTCGTCTTGTAGCTGACCTCAGTGGGCCTGTACCACCCTCTAGGACTAGAAGAAGCTGGCTCCGGGTCTGAATTGGAACACTGAACTCGAACACTGAATTGGAACACTGAATCGGAACAGTGAACTGGAACTCGAACACTGAATTGGAACACTGAATCGGAACAGTGAACTGGAACTCGAACACTGAACTCGAACACTGAATTGGAACACTGAATCGGAACAGTGAACTGGAACTCGAACACTGAACTCGAACACTGAATTGGAACACTGAATCGGAACAGTGAACTGGAACTGGAACACTGAACTGGAACACTGAATTGGAACACTGAATCGGAACAGTGAACTGGAACTGGAACACTGAACTGGAACACTGAATTGGAACACTGAATCGGAACAGTGAACTGGAACTGGAACAATGAACTGGAACACTGAATTGGAACACTGAATCGGAACAGTGAACTGGAACTGGAACACTGAACTCGAACACTGAATTGGAACACGGAACTAGAACCTGGGCACTCCGCAAACACAGCATTCATTGCCGTCTAGGCTTTGGGAACGAATAGCAAAGAAAAAAAGAGAGAAAACTCGTAGATCTACTGGCTGGCAAAAAAGAAGAAAAATTGACCAACTGATTTGCGATGCACATCGCGAAAGGAGTGCAAGAGTTTCGCCAGGGAACGTAGGCAACTAAATCCAGTGGGGCTTTTGTTGTCGATTGATCGGCCACTGTCCAGTTTCAGGTGTTTGTTCGACTATGTACGTAGCTTGGGAACAGGGACAAGATGCCTTTCTGGCACGATCGGCATTGACTAACGCAGTACAGTCGTCCCTCTCTAATCCGGCACCTTTTGCTACGGCATTTTCTGCTGGATTAACGAGGGTGCTGGATTAAGAAATCCTGCCCTCTGACCCGGCCCTACCCAATTACATGCATGTATCATACGTCAAAACGCAGGGTTTTTCCGTGTCGACCCCAGTATTTGGTGCACGGCTTTTATTCTCAACTTTTCTCCAGGAATATACACAGTGATAAAGTAAAACAGAGAACATGTTCACATGTATACGTACTCTTGCACACACACGCACAGTCGATTTACGACTAGTAGTAGTAGTAGTAGTAGTAGTAGTAGTAGTAGAATTTATTATTTTACTAGGGAACTCCCAACAGGCGTTGCCTTTTTACTGGGAACCCTAGCACTGCCGGATTATGAAATCAAACTACGTGCAGTTTGAGCGATTCGTTTCAAAAAGTCACTGCCGGAGGCGGAATTCAAGTGCCGGATTAAGATGTAGGAATTGAACGAAAAAAATCGGTTTCATCAGAAAGTGCGCCGGTTGGCAAGGGTTCCGGATAAACAAGTGCCGGATTAGAGAGGGACGACTGTAACGTGCTACGAATTGAATGCGAAGTCGCGCCAAGTTAGTGATACAACGCGTATACGGCGAAGTGAAGCTTTCAAATTATTTGGCTTCGCTCAGTTGGCCGATTCCTCGAACGTAACAACTACTGTAGATCTATGTTAGGTTTCCCAGTAAATTATGAGAGCAGGAACATTGTGAATCATTAGTGAGGTTTTGCATTCCGAATTTCGGTACAGCGTTCTTCGGTCATTTGTCGAACATCAAAATGTCGAATTTTCGCACCAACGTTTGTTTTGCAAGTCGAAAATGATGTGTTTTCATTTCGTGAGCCCCAGCATCAGCAACGTCCTGTCCCGTGCTCCTTTTCTTGCTGATTCCAACGAACTTTGATCGCCCAAAGAGTCGAGGACCAAACCTGCCTCCTCAGTCGCCTCAGAAAAACCAACTCCATGGCCAAGTCAAATTTTATGCGTGTCGCCATAGTCTTTTCAGCCACACAGATGACGGTGAGGACACTCCAGGCGAAAGAGAGTCGACAGGCAGTGGACTGGAGAGGAGCAATCAGAGGTAGCTGACGATGCTATGTCGCCAAAGACGCCTGCCAAGCGATGCCGAGATAAGAAACCTCTTTGAATAAATCACGCTCGAGCGCTCTTCTACAAGAGAATGCATCCGAAAAATATTTTCGGCAAAGTGAGCTTTTTCCGAACAAACACTCCGAATCTTCGTGTGCATTTTCGACCTCGCTCCCGCGTGCCGAATCTTTTTGCCAAATTTCGGAATGCAAAACCTCGCTATTGTGCACAGACTAGCGCTCGTAGAACGGTAATGATAGTTCCGTGGTTTCCCACGAGATCGAATCTACCGGGACAGGTCTCGTAATTATTTGTATTGTGCATAATATGATCAACGTGTAAAGAAGAACAGAGAGTAGATCTACAGACTACAGGACTCGCGATACCACTTACCTTCAGGCGGTACTCTTGGGCAGCAGTGGACGACGCGCAAAAACACAAACTGCTTCCGTCGACGAAACGGCGATTGTCCGATTCAGCGTGGGCTCACAAACCGTTCAAAGAGGTAGTTGGCTTTTGGCAAGAAGAGTAAAGAATCAAAGAAAAATGGTGGGGCTCCGCATCCGTTGTACCGCTTTGTAGGACGTTTTTATTGCTGGAATAATCCCGAGAGCCAGCCATCGCCTAGCGCCCAGGCTTTGTAACTATTTTGTGTGACTAGGATGTGCGCGCTGCGGCATGGCGCTACCTTGATGCTGGCCGGATATCCGGCAAAAAATCGACATACTAGGACGCGTAGACTATCTACGTGTGTATGTGCGTGTGTGTGTATCGGTACTGACGCAATAATTATGTACAGTCATGTAGCCTCTACATGATTTAGCCTTTTACTTTTTAGGGCGGGATCGTCACAGTCATGATCTGCCCATATGCAGGCAACCAGCATAATTATACCAGCAGAGTATAGTAGTGCAACCAGCCCGAGGGGACACGGTACGGCAAAAGAAAGAATTGTTGTTTGCTTCTTCTCCGGAAATTGCTTGCGAAACCCTTCGGTTCTCCCGCGAGGAACCGAAACTAGTGGTATTGCCGCCAAGCTCCTGTCAAAAGGCTGTCATGTCCTTCCCCTACGCGGAGCAGTTCCAAGTGATAAACACTTGAATTGTCTACTTGCGGAGTTTCCTGGTTCGTTTATTCAGTCCAGAGCCATTAGAGAATGTAAATGACGACAAAGTGGCAATCTGTGGTGGCTTCGATATTCGTGTTACTCCCACTTAGAAACCCTGATGTTGCACCTAACCGAGGTTTATGGCCTCTTTTGCTGTTACCCGCAGTTTTAGCCAGCATGGTACGCCCAGAAAGCAATGACTTGGAGACCTATGGCTATGGTGGGACGAGCTGGTTGCGCTGCCTTCGCTATAGACTATAACACACTACATCAATATGTCGGAAGGGTTGTGATTTTTGTATGTAAACGTGCCCGAAGCCCTCATCCAAGGGTGCCACTTGTAGAAAGTGAGAAATGGTGTGCAGTTACACGTACAATGTGCGTCGTGTCTGTACCATTTTGGCCGGGGACCCGATGCGAATTCCCCGACCATGTAGACTCGACATTAGAGTGATCAACACCATAGCATAGGTGTTTGCTAGTAAAATAAAAAAAAAATAAAAAATAGAAGCTGCACGGTTTGTGACACTCCCACCGGGTAGACGTGTGTGCGTGTGTGGGGTGGGGGAGGGTGCACCCCTCCAAGCCCAAGGTCCAACAACACAAGTCACTACAGTCCAAAGCACACATTGTGTGAGGCCATCTCACTCACGAATGCGTCGACCTGCGTATATTTGGCATTTTGTGGAGCATACGTTCGTCTAAGGGATTTACAAGATGTGTTTTGACTTGGATAATAAGTAACTACAAGGGTTCACGGTCATGTTGAAGGCATCTTATCACTTTATTAGGCTGCGCTCAATGTGAACCATTTCTCTATGTCCTTGTATAGCGCTGATCAACACGTTCTTAGAGCTCAGGGAAATGCTCCACGAAACGCCAAATCACACGAGTCCAGCCACAACCATGTGCGAGTGAGCCCCTCCCTCCCCCCCCCCCCCTCCACACACACGCACGCGTGCTGTGGACTGTCCATGTTATGACTTACGTGGTGGGACCTTAGGGAGCCCCCCCCCCCCATCCCGCCCAACAAGCACGTCCGTTCAAAGTGTATGATGTCATTAACCAATCTCTCTATTTCTTTGACCGTGCCCAAGGGAGGTCAGCGGCAAAGTCAGCAGGCCTCTAGGTGACAACTAACTATAACACAATGTCGACTGAAAAAGATCGTACGCCGCGGCGCGGACACGTACAGCCAGAGAGGCCGATACCGAGAGTTCAGTTTGCTGCAGCGTATTGGACCACTTCCTAGTGTGATCCCAGAATGCTGATGGGGATACTTCTCTACACAGAGAAAGAAAAAATCGTTAAAGACGTCCAAATACAAGCCCGAGAGCCCCCAAGGCTGGGAAATCAACAGCGGTGCAAGCACATCGCACGTACCGCATAACTTCAAGGCAGATTTGCTGACCACGCTGATGCAACCTGGGAGGGTTCAACGTCTTCGAGCCTGTTACGACATTATGTCACATCTTTGAGGTGGATCGAGAGGTCTGGAGTTTGGTTACAACCGGTATTTCAACACAGCTAATTCAGCTATATCCCGCTGTTATATTGTTGCTTGTTATTTTGAACTCGCATGTACAAACGGGCTCGAAGCCCAGTCACATGAGATCCTAGACCTGCACTCCTCGTAACACCGGATCATGCTGACGTTGTACAAGCCATCTCTGAGGACACTGTCTTGTGGTTGTATGGGACGACACATAGAGTGACAGCTGTAGGAAATAGGGCCAAATGGGGTGTTACATACTAGATGTTAAACCCTTCACTTATCACCTGTATGGTATCATCTCACCGCCACTGAATTTGTAATGCTGCAATATGGTCAGATGCTGCTTACGGTAAACCTGTCCTGTGCTCATTTTAACTTGTAGCAATACATGATCATATCGCAGTGACATACAAGTACATAAAGCCAAGATGGAAGAAGCGATGCACGACCGTGTGGTTACAGGAGTTGTCCAAGTAGCAGCAACAGCAGCAGCAGCGGACCAAACAGCCCGCTGCAGGGGCTAAGAGGCGAGACTTCAAGTGCAGCTTCTGGCACAAGCCGTCCAACACAGCCATCAAGTCCTGCAGCAGACGCGACCTTATCCTCAAGCCCGCTGAAGCCACATCCAGACAGCATTCCAAGCAAGAATTCTTTAAAAAAAAGAATCTTTGTAGGGAGCCGCGACTTTGTCTGAATTCGCAGCATGGAAGGTCCGGGAAGGATTTCTGATAATGCCAGCTTCAAAATCACCAAGACAAATCCGCCCGGGTAGCTGCTTTTCAGTAGTGCCCGGACGAAGATTGTACTTGAAGTAAAATATGTACATGTATAAATATACACTGTTGTGAATTCCAGCAGAAATCCAAGAGAGCTCGATACCGGGAAGGTAGAGCCGTGACACACTAGTCAGAACAACAGATGGCTTGATCAGTCACAACTTAAAGTTTCATGCCATCTCAGGCACTCATCAGGTGATATGAACATCAAGAAAAATAACCCACTATTTAAAGCCCAGTATGGCGGGACAAGGATAACAGAAAGCGCTAGGGGCGCTATCAACTCATATCCGATTCAGTGTCATAGCCAGTAAGGATCGCGGTACTAAGGTGATAAAGGTTAAAGGTGATAAAGGTGATAAAACTGAGCTGGCCTGGCTAGTGAGTTCCGCGGTGCAAAGATGATGATGGTGACAAGGCGGCAGAGAGCTATCAACTGGCCCTACTGCCTGGAGGCAGGGTGCCGAGAAGATCATGTTATCGGTGTTGACAGCATGAATTTATTTTGATGGCGACATTTGGATATCAACTCCGACCGCTTGTTGAGGCTCGATCTCCTGTCGGCAGTGATTATTCTCGCCTTCTCCTCGAGGCACAGGCTGCATCTTTTTGTTATGTTGCTGTAGGCCTTGGCCTTCTGGACCACTCGCCACTTGATGTCGTGCGTCTTGCCATTATCTTTTAATTCCCACACATGCTTTGAGAGGCCCATGGATTTGCGGTATCCAGGAAGCTTGATGGATGTCTTGTGGTTCCCGTATCGAAGCTTGAATGGAGGCTCCGTACTGCCAATGTAGGTTTTGGGCCCATCGCTGTGGCCATCACTCGACACCTCCGCCGCGTAGACTATGCTGGTTGCTTGGCACGCTCCGTTGAGAGGGCACTGGTCCTTGCGACGGCAGTTGCACGGCTTGTCCGGTTCCTGGACGCACAATTGACGCTTATTGTGGCCACTGATAATGTGGGCCATATTCGGCAAACAGGAGTAGCTCACCTTCACATTGAAGCGGTTGAAGATTTTGTTCATTTTGGACCCCTTAGGAAAATGCTTGTCGATCAGCCGGAGGAAGGTGCCGGCGATGTTGGTCCGGACACTCTTGGAGTATGGCGGGTTAAACCACACCACATTCCGTTTCTTTTTTCTTTTTTGCTTGCTGCCGTTCATTGCAGCAGGTGGCGTTGGGTCAATGTACTTGATGTTGGCAGGTAATCCGCTGGCCGCTAATGCATTGCGATATGCAGGGGCAGCATCGCCGAATACGCCGCTGTCGGCAGATATGCTTGAGACACGTCGAGCGATCATATCAGGGATGTTCCGTAGTATGGATGGTGGGTGATTGGACATGGCGTTGACGTAGAGAGGTGCGTCTCCAGGTTTACGATACGACTGGAATTTCCCGGTGTCGAGGCTGAGCGTGACGTCTAGGAAATTCACTGTCGAAAGATTAACGTCAATCAGTAACAATCAGTGCGTTCTGTCTGAGGCAAGTTGCGCCGCTTCCAAAAGAGACATATTATTATATTATTATTATTAGGCCAAAACAAATAATGACCTTGTTTCCGGTCGCCCGACCGGGCCACTTTTTCCCAAATTCTGAAACTTTTTTTGGTCCCAAATGTACATGTATACAAACGATGGCAATGCCATGTATGCAAGTGCACTCAACGAGTCATAACTCAGTCAAATCTCAACCGAATTCCACAATCGAAACACCTACAAGGTAGCAGAGATTCTCAGATGTCGGCTCGAAAACCTCCGGGGTCGATACGAGCTAGAATAACGGAACTGGAAGGACTCGAACTGTTTGCTTAATTTCTCAGGATGTACGAAAACAGGAATACACCACATGCATGCTGTACAAGAACAGTGAGTCAGTCAACTTTGACATTGATCCTTGCCATGATATATGTACAATGTACATGTGTAGGTGCTCTTGTCCATCAATACCACAACGATTGAGGAACCAAAAAAAGTTTCATTCCGGCCGACCGAGTCTCCTTTTTGAGGGGTTGCCGACCGGAAACAAGCCTATTTTTTGTTTTGGCCTTATAAGCACTATCGCGATGTAAGCGGGGATGCCTACTTCACTTGTGCCATCCAGGATGATGATAAAGAGAAAGACAAACAGAAAGCTCAGAATCTTGAGGAACAATGCTGTAGAGCAAGCACAATAGCTGTGATCGATGGGATGCGCTACAGAAAGGTGAAAAATACTAGTTCATTGATATACATGTAATAGCTGGTGAGTTGTCTCGTCACTTCTGAATAATCGGTCTGGAGACATATTGAGAAGTAAAAGGTCATTCCTAATGTTGTCTACCCATCTGGTCATTGGGCGACCTCTGGGCTTCTTTATATCTGTTATTCTTTTTATCTGGTATACTAGTATTCATTGCCATGTGAAGGGCTTTGTAGGACACAGCGTCCTTCCCTTCGCGAATGACATGTCCAAACCATAATAAGCGCCGGCGTCTACAGACTGCACTTATTGGGCATTGAGCAGTTTTAGCATAAAGAGCATTATTCGAAATTTTATTGGGAAAGATGATTCCAAGTATGTATCTGAGTTTACGGCGAATATGAATGTATAATTATATGAATCTGGCAGGGCATCATCAACACAGGAGATGATCCGGATACCCAGCGGGTTTTGCAAGACTGACGGTATACATTCGCGAACAACGAAATTCACTCCTACTGTCCAAGACCGCCTGGCGCTCATTAACTGATTGAAAGAAGAATGATCTGAAGTGAATGATCAATCCACAGGTATCTCCGGCTCTATTATAGTCTGTAGAATGATGGCCAAGACACGCTGAACATTACACTCTCTACCTAGCTGCAAACACTAGTAGCATCTCGAGTCGCAATTTAGTAAGCCGTGTTGTGTTCATCGACTATGTGCAATGCATGCACTGATGCACCAGCCCGCCAAGCAAGACATCACCACTACTCGACTTAGAGGTGCCAGGCACGAACTGAAAGTTCGTGGAGAAAACCTACTTTGCCACCAATGTGGTTACCGTGTTCACTACGATCCGTTCGTTCACGATGTTGAAGGATGTCCTACCAACCCTACAATTGAGTCACCTCATTTACTACTTTGAATGCCGACAATGTGGTAGTCGGTATGTTGGTAGGACCCTTCAACATCTGTCCGAACGTATCAAACAACACGTGCCGCTCTCAATATTGTCACAGGCGGCTAGGTCCTCCCGACCAAAGCGTGGCCGACCACGTAAGCACCCAACTCCACTGTCCGTTCCGGCAGAGGCTTCTGCTCCACAAACGGTGTCTCGGAAAAACCAACACAGCACGCAGAAATTGGGAACAAACATTAATGTAAACAAAGACGAACACTGTGTCTTATCTTCATTATCAGCGAGTACCGGAACGCCGGACGCAGACAACCGCAACTCACCAAAGCTGAGAAGGAGCAAACGGCTGGCGGCAGCTCGGTTTGCAGAGGTGACTGGAAAGATGCATCGAAACTCTCCGGATATGGATGATGCCAGCGGAAGAGTTGACGACTGTCAGGCGTTTGGCAATGGCAAGGGAAGACCGGTCAGGAAGAGAACGCGACGGCAGCTGGAGGAGGAGTGTGGAAGCGACGTGTGCAGTGACGATGATGAACCCGGTGGTCAGTTGCTGGGAGAGCCGACGACAGGTGAAGGTGGCAGCGATGATGAAGAGGACGGTGACGATGATGACGATGATGGTGCAGATGGTGTGAAGGACGGTGGCGGTCAGAAACCAAGTGAAGGCGGAGGCGGTGAGAAGAAGAAGAATACATCGGCAATTAAATTGCATTTGTTGTCTAACCCCGTGTGTCGTGAAAGTTATGATGATTCTTGGTTCAGTGTTGTTCGTTCTGCAAGTAGTTTCAAGCAGTTAAAAGTTCTAGAAGCAGTCTACATTCGCATTCGTGATCCAAATCTTTGTAAACAAAAAGAAAATGTCACCGCACTTACGCTATTCCAGTAAATTCGCACTCACACACACTTACACATGCATGTCCATTGTCACACTGCACTTGCTGAATTTCCTATCATTTCTCACCTCACCTATAGTTTATTACCTGTGCAAATTGTTCCTAGGTTTGTGCTATTTTTCTTACTATGCTTGTATCCTCGCTGTTCCACTGCAAGTGTATAAATCCTATTGTAGTTTCATCATTCTCTTTAGTCACGAATTCCATTGATAATTGTGACCAGAAAACGTTCTGGAATACATGATTCGTCCCCATGGTTGTGATATGAGTGCGCATTTAGTTATATTCATTGCATTATTAGAAAAGAAGTCCAAAGCAATAATCGAGAAAACAACGCTTACGCTGGCCAGTTAGTTTCTTCTTCCACCTGTATCCACCTGCAGAGAAGGCAAGGAATGTGCTTGTAGAAAATTTGAAATGTTTATCGGAAAGAGCCTGAAGGTTGCACAGTTCATTAGTCTCATTAATACTATATTCGCGGGGTTTGATTTCTCAAGTCAGAACTGTAGCTTCTTGCAGAATCTTTGCATAGAGTCGCCACTCTATGTGTCATGCAAGGCCCTGGTATGGTTGCTGCAGATACTGTACATGTACTTGTACATATAAGAGGCACGAAGGAGAGGAAAAAATAGGTATGCGTTTTTTAAAATTTCTATTTGCATGTATTTCAGGATTCTCCAGGGCCTGTCAAGGGAGCCTGCATGAAGTTATCACCATAAAAGACATGAAGATGCAAAATAGAGGAATAGAAAGAGAGCGAGAGAGAGAGAGAGAGAGAGAGAGAGAGAGAGAGAGAGAGAGAGAGAGAGAGAGAGAGAGAGAGAGAGAGAGAGAGAGAGAGAGAGAGAGAGAGAGAGAGAGAGAGACAGAGACAGAGAGAGACAGAGACAGAGACAGAGACAGACAGAGACAGAGACAGAGACAGACAGAGAGACAGAGACAGACAGAGACAGAGCAAGAGAGAACAAGAGAGAGAGAGAGAGACAGACAGACAGACAGACAGACAGACAGAGAGAGACAGACAGACAGAGAGAGAGAGAGAGAGAGAGAGAGAGAGAGAGAGAGAGAGAGAGAGAGAGAGAGAGAGAGAGAGAGAGAGAGAGAGAGAGAGAGAGAGAGAGAGAGAGAGAGAGAGAGAGAGAGAGAGAGAGAGAGAGAGAGAGAGAGAGACAGAGAGACAGAGACAGAGACAGAGACAGAGACAGAGACAGAGACAGAGAGACAGAGAGAGAGAGAGACAGAGCCTAAAGTGTATAATGTTATAATGACATTATTGTTCTCTGTATTACCGCAATGTTGAGCACTGTCAGCAAACTGGATGCGTCCTTCCGTGTTATACTTCTATGTACGTTGATGATTAATTGGCAAGTGGAAGGTCTTCCCCTTGTGATATTACTACACAGCCAGGTTGATCAGTGGACAGGGTGGAGGACAAGGTTCGTGTGGCTGGCGACCGCCCGTTGGCTGACTTGAGTTCACGAGGCTGCCTGTATCTCTCGTGGCGCAGCATCTGTATCATGCGCGATGCATACAGGCAGATCCAGAACGCCCATATCTGACTTTCCAGGAGAATGGCCTGAATCAGTGGCCGAAGCGATGGCCCGGTGACAACAAGCGCTGGATACAGACCGAGCCAAACAATAAATCCGGTCAACGAAGCGAGGTACAGGAGCTGCGCTTCATTGTACTCTTCCGGCAATTTGCGTGTCAGAAACGCCAGCACAATGCAAGTTACGAGAAGCAAAAAGTTGAACGCACTTAAAACACTGACCCAAACATGGCTTATGCTACAGTGAAATGTTAGCTGATGAACTGCAGGAATTTTGACAGCAACTGATGGTTCTAAAATGATATACAGAGCTGACAATACACTGTTTATAAGTGTCAACATGCAGACACCAGCTAGCTGTACCGGGTTTCCAAGAAGACGCCGTCGAGTCTTGTTGCGACTCAGGATGGTCATGGAGCTGAAGATGCTGTCAAAGCGCTTGGTCTTGACTAGAACTGAACCGACAACAATGGTCTTGACGGGCTCGGGCAACACTGCACTCAGTGTGCAGTATGTTGAGGTGATGCTGGCTGGGATGGTGATACCCAGAGCAACACAATGCCCAATGATCATGGCTGACATACTCAGGGTGCTGAGAGTAAGATCGGATGCCTTTACAAGGACAGCGTTGGGATGCAGGCGAAAATACAGCAATGAAGAAACACTAAGAATCAGCCCTAGGATGGCAAAACATGTCACTGTTATAAATCCTGGGTCTTTGATGCCGTATTCCACAGGGTTGAACTCAGAACAGGATGTTCCGTTTGATCCAAAGCCAAGAGGGCAGTTACTGCAACTGTCAGCATTTGTGACATTGGAAAATGTAGTCCCAGCACAGACCTCGCATGACCAGCAACACAGCATTGGCAAGCTGGCATTGAATACACAATGCTGGCCTGGATAACAAGTTGTGCTGCAATTAGATGCTGGCAATCCCCTCAGAGTGGACCTGGATGTGGCAGGAGTGGTACTGTCAAGGGTGAAGTTACCAAACATTTTCAAGTCTAACACTTGATCTGGATACCATTCAAATTTTGAGCGGCTTCCTTCTTTCCAGTGCCCGATGGAGACTATGTCGTGGAAGCCATTTGCAGTAAGCTGGACATTCTGTATATAATATGTTGGGGTTGTGTGGTGGAGTTTGTCAAACACACGACAGAACGAAGTATAGTTCTTACAGGGCAGTTCAAGATTCTCTAAACTCTTCAGTTGGACTGGCCCTCCAGGTACGGTACCATTGCGGATATCATTTGAACGTATAGCTGTCACTGTTGCAGCCACGCTCGATATCATGCCCAAAATCAATGACTCGGCGATCACCATTGAGTCTCTCTGCAGGAAGCGTTTAATATCGGCATCAGTGCACTGACGGAGCTGTGTTGTGCGGTTTGGCATGAGTTTGATTTGGCAACTGTCCATAATCCCCATGGCGCATTGTAGCTGGTCTTCTACGTATGCCCGGAGCCAGGGATCCTCCGTGGCTGCAGCTTTAATGTACGCCACATCCCTCAACGACTTTGTCAAGTTCTGGAGCAAACGCTGGACGCTGCTGGAAGCAACAGCTCGTGGTGCCAGGCCAAGAATGGGCGCTTTGACCTGAATGGAGTTTTCTGGGAATGTCAGCCTGTTCACCCAGTCATGGCTGCCAACAAAGATCTTGTTGTCCACGTTCATCTGTTGGCACATACTCAGAAACACCCTGGCTGCAGATATAGGTGCGTAGAGGATGACAACGCGTGAACTCGACTGCTTTAAGCTGGCCACAGTACTCACCAACTGGTCACGGAACCCGGGTCTCTTGTTGAAGCGAACAGCGATCTCGAAGCAAAATGTGTGTCGCCTGTTTGCTTCGGAGACGATCAAATCGAAGCCCTGCCCGCTGTAAGCATCATCTTCAGCTGCTATCAACGACACAAAGGTCCACCCAAAGTGTTCAATCAGGTCTGCAATTGCCTCGGCTTGGAATTTGTCGGAGGGCACTGCTCGAAATAGATACGGATAGTCGGACACATCGTCAAAGAGAGTGCTGCTGGCCCAGTACGAGATGTGGGGAATCTGGTAGTTGGAGAAAAACGGCGATGTGGCCAAAGTACTGCTTGTTGACATTGGGCCAATCACTGCGAGAAGGGGTGGAGATCTCCTCAAAGCTTCTGTGAAGTTTTGCGCCCCACACTCGTCGTCCAAGGGCGGGAGGTGGTGAAACAAATTCGTGAATGCAACTTTTCGGTAAACGATGGAGTCTGCTGCTAAAATCTGTGCCAATTCCACTGCCAGTTGATTTGAACCACAGGCGTCGAAGGCTAGTCCACTCGTCAGTTTCGTGGTAAGCGGTGCGGCCTGCAGATGTCGTTGCACAACGGACGAATCCACATCGATGTCGAACTCGTCCTGGTAGATTTTGAGCATGTATGTGAAAGCAGTAGTTTGTTGGACAGCCGCCCAGCTGCTGAACTCTTCGCACGTTTGTGTACTGTAGTCGAACGAGTCATGAAGTTCCATCAGCGAACCTAGCTTGACAACACCAGCTTCGATAACCCGCAGACGACAGAAGTGGTGCGTGGCCGTGCGTCCCGAACTCGCCTCCACAGGAATGGCGCCAGCTGTAAAATCCGGTTCACTGGTCGGTTCTTGTTGCTTTTGTGAGAATGCCGCTAATGCGAAGCAGATAAATGAGAAGCGGCTCCAAACCGAACTAGGGTGATACGTGTGCCGTCGAGATGGCATTGTCAGGCTGCTTCTTGCGGAAGAGAACAGCATTTTGCGCTGATAGCAATGGAAGGTTGAAGATCAAGTCGATGTCAGTGATGTGGCCATTGCCTTGGCTTTCTGTGCAACAGCACTCAATGTTACTTTGCAGCAACAAGCCACCAGAGTCCTACTGAAAACCAAGGAAAGTGAGTATGAGACTAAAATACCAAAACAGCAGGAGGCAGAACGAAAAACTCTACAGCCAGCAACGTGAGCTACTGACTAATGGTTTATTTGGTTCACGCTCGTCTTGACCAGTCCCGAAGGGTCGAAGGCAAATACATGACTCCCAAGGCGAAGTGCACACTAGTGAGTGACACTACACGGTCCAGCCAACCTCCAATCTTGCAGTCGGTTCTTAACAGGGAATACTAGTACTCATGGTACGAGGAGGTCCGAGAGTCAATAACAAGATGGGCTCATAGTGTCTTGATGGAACATGTGCACTGTAGTACCAATAGCATGACTTGGACTCCTTAGCTCGAACTGTTACTTCCCGAGTCCTACATAATATATGTGTACCTCACGGGCTCCGGGGGTACTAGAACTGCATGTGGAGTTTGTTCTTCTTTCTTTTTACTTCGGCAGCCCCTGCAATTCTTTAGGGTTGGCTTGTCATGACTACAAATTGCCTTCCAGGTAAATCATGCCATGCCCAGTTCTACCGAAGTGCATCCTCAACTTGACTACAGTGAAGAAGGAGAGCGCTGGCCTTACAAGTCATACTAATCGTTGACACCACCACTATATTTCTTGCTCTATCTGTGGGCAGCACTGTTCGCCCTGCATGGACACATTCATCAGTGCAGCACCGCTACAGGTCGGTCGGACGGCAGTGAAACGCTGAGCGGCTCCAGCGTGAGTTGCTTCTGTTGAAAATCGATCAGCTACGACCGTGTCACTCTTAAAGAGGATACACGATCGTACAGGTGTTACAGCTCATTTGTTACAACTGTTTCTATCTATTTTGTCTAGTAACGTAGAACCTTCCAAGCTGGAATGCTGTTGGAGTGCGCATCCAAGACCTGCTAAATCTGCTTGCCAGTTAGGTGTAGAACATCAGTACCGTTGGTCAGTGTCGTGCAATGTTATTGCATGAGCTGATATTAAAGTAACTGGTGGTGTTAAAAATTGGTTGTGAGCAACACTGGCTCACACTCAAACAACTGCTTTTCACCAGAAAAATATTATTATTATTAATTTTTTTACTTATGAAGCTGCGTGATGCGTCCTACAAGATTTTAAATTGGTGGTGTTAGTGGATATTATAGCGTAACTTAGCTCTTTGCTCCTCTTTCCTTCTAAATAAATATTAATTGATCCTTGGCTCTCCACCAGTAAATTATCTTGTCCGTTCCCGAAGGGAACTCGCGACGGCCGCTGACACCCGGCAAACCCTACAAGAATAAGAGTATGAAAAAATGTCTTTGTCTAGTAAGTAACTGAGAACGCGAGAACCAGTGGAGGTATGAACATCATACACATACTTGAAGTAATGATATACACAGAGCAGTTGAAAGCACACATATTATATAGGCCCACAAACACGCACGCACGCGCACACGCACACACACGCACGCACATACACACACACACACGTATATGCATCGTTTAATGAGAGTAATGGATTGCGCAACTACTTTCAGGCTCTTTCCAATGAACATTTCAAAATTCCGCAAGTACATTCCTTGCTTTCCCTTCAGGTGGATACAGGCGAAAGAAGAAACCAACCAGCGCAATACTCTTTTAACTTGAAGGGGCGCTACTACTTTATACTTTGGGTATGAGGTTGGATTCCTCTGGCCAGAAATGTAGCGTCTTGCAAAACCCATGAATAGAGCTGGCAGCCTGGCACTGTACTTGTCACAGCCCTGGTATGGCTGTTGGCTGTTGCAGATACTGACTGCAGCTAGAAAGAACGCGTGACGTATGGCAGGTGTTAACCGCTACATTAGTTACGGACGATTGACTGATTGTTCGATTTGAGGTGAATTCGCAAGACCGAACGAACAAGAATGCTCAACAAAAATGGTAGCAAATGGGAAGAGGAGAAAGAAGGCTAGATGAAGTCCAGGTACTCGGGAAGGGAGTCCCATGACCGAACAAGTCCGAACAAGTCGGTAGGAAACAGAAGGGGGGGGGGGGTGTATAGTATACTAGTACCAAGAGTACTGAGGCATCATGTACTGATGCTAAAGCCTCTTGTACGGGCAAAAAGAAATAGATTGAGTAATCGGTAGGGACAAAAACCACCAACGGAAAGGACAGAGCAAGCAGAACACAATGACTGCCATTGATCCGTCTAAACAACAAGGGCGAGTGTCGTTAGCTAGTACTTCGAAGTACATGCGGTACTGAGAGCATAGGCCGGAATCTCGTCGGAAGTTCTATTCTTCGCCAAGATGGCAGACAGAGTTCCAACGACTTATTTCGTAACACTCAAGGAACTCGCTTTCGAGACGGCCTATTTATGTGTCATTGCTGTCACATGGAACTCCCTCCAATTCGTACGGTGGAAGCCCAGCCCAAAGTTCAGTGTACCTCTCTCGGCCGCACCCACTTTGCTACCACCCGTTATGAGCCTAGTTCTGGATGTATTCCAGCTAGAGTGCCGTACCACACTCTACTGCTGCTGTCCCGATTTTTCCATGCTTTAAATATACTTTCTACCTGCTGGTATTTTCTCTTCAGATTCTGCTTTTTCTCCTTCAGAAACTGTTGACCATGACCAGGAGTCCTTAAAAATACAAAATACGAAACAGTTTTGTCCCCAGATGGAGTAAATACAAGTACACATATTTTCATGAAAAATAGAAGGACCGAGCGTTCACAAGTTATCCGCTGTTTGTGTCCAACACTAACAAAATATAAGCAATACACCGGTGAGTCAGAACGTGCAACGATTAGCACAACACTGACTGATGTGATACGGACACGACCTGATGCTTAGCTGCATCGTGGTTGGCTGTTCCCGTGAAACCACCTTGTGACGTGGTTGGCTGTTCCCGTGAAACCACCTTGTGACGTGCTTTGGCATTAGCTAAGCTTGGCGGACAATGCCGGCAGACAAATTGGCAGAGTGTGGTACCTGTTCTGGTCTGTTTCATGCATGTTTGGTATGTGGGTAAAGAAATGGAGCAGAATTCAAGGAAGTGCCTGCCATAAGGTTTGTATGGTTCCGCCAAATTTCAATGCTATTCGAGCAGTATCTGCCAATATTTCGAGCATTTTCCGCCGATGGTTATTATAAGCATTTGGCAGCCCTACTGGAGGTTCGCCCTTAGTAGCGTGATTTGCTACTGCTAATCTAAAGCGATGAATACGTGAGAAACAGCTGAGCGTGCCATCGCATCCAAGATCGACCATAACCTCTGAGTCTGCTCCGGAATTGTGCATCCAGTAGCTTCCGCACCATACAGTCGCTCTGAGCCTGAGTGCTGCGCACAATGTCGCAAAATAGAGGTTAACATTCTACTCCCCATGCTAGAGTATGGAGTAGACACACACGCGTGCAGGACGCGACACACCAAAAGACAAGAAAGTGAGTTTGGAAGAATGGGAATGTCGGGCAGAGTAGCTGGCCTCAATTGAGTGCGCGTTCACGAATCGTGTGGTCGGCCTACCGAGGGCAGGAGCTGTATATGACCAAGTGGGTCGGCCTGCGCTGAGCAGGAGCGGTTTGTGACCGATGCGAGTTGGTGGGTCGGCCTGCGTTGAGCAGGAGCGGTTTATGACCCATGCGAGTTTAGTAGTAGTGCGCGAGAGGCCAGTTACGGAGGAGTGCCCGCATCCGTGTGTTTCAAATTATGTGGAGTGTAGTGTAAGAGTAAGAAATGGGATGAGGAGGGTGGGTCAGAATTTGAAAGCTGACTGCAGGCAAGGAAACTGGAAAGAAAGCAAGCTCTGTTGTGCGCACAGGAAATCTGCGCATGCGCAGAGCGTGGGCATGTGATGTCTATGATACACAGCAGTATGTGGAGAGAGCAAGATGGTGCACACACGTAAGGAGGGTTATGCAACCCGTTATAAAGGCCAACAGCGAAGCAATGGTACGTGACTGTTAACAACGGTTAACTCCTACGTTAACCGAACATTTTAAATAATTATGCGAATGATATCATCGAGAATTTCGAATGGACACAAGCATACGAGCGCGAGTCAGCAGCTTTTCGAATACTAGTAAATACATGTATGCCTGAGCATGAGTTCCCAGTGTAGTGATGGCATATTCTCTATACAATCCGCAAGCGCACAGTGCTGGCTCTTGCTAGTCTTGGTTGGCTGCTCCCTTGACAACAGCCTTGTGACGTACTACGAGTAGCCTTTCCCAAACAAGGATGCCAAAATATTTCGCAACTTACTTATGCTTTTCGCAACCATGCCAAAACAAGTGAATGTTGCTGAAATCGCATCCATATTTTCAAAAAAATCTCTGAAGTTGGTAATATCGCAACTCAAAATGAGCGAGTGCTTGTGCATAATGACGCCAAAAACAATCAATAAAATTCATGAGAACTCTGTGGTGCAGCACAACTGGCTGAGTAGAGTTATGCTTACTTTGAAGTACATTGTACATCGATGTTCATGTACATGTATGAATGCATAATGTTCACAGGGTAAAACGTGTCACTACTAGTAGTAGTACTCTAGCTATGAAAATGAACAGACTTGGAATGAGTCGTTGTTCTCTTTGTTGAACCTTTGGCAGGCTTTGCACAGCATTCATGACATAGCGGCATGCTCAGTGCTGCCACATACAGTACATGACAATGCACATGATTGTATAATTTAATACACAAAGGCAGAACAACAGAGACCAAACATCTTTCTCGTAACTCGGAGTTTCGTGTTCATAAACACTCATCAGACGATAAAACATAATGATGCTATTCGCTAGTTAGGTACATATAGGGTAATTGTAATGTAGGCTAAGGCAGTGCCGCAACCACGAAGCTTGAGGAGATAACAGCAGCGCTGGAATACACTGTGCGTAGTATGAGTGCAAGTGGCATGGCTGAGGTATATTGCTATCACCAAGATGGGAGATACATGTAGAACCGATGCAGGAATTAAGTGGGTTTCAGTGGGAGTTGTGTCACGCCAAAGATTGTATAATATTATGTATCTCGAGAAGTAATGTGCACGACACTTCAATGGTCTCCTCCAGGGCGCTTCTCTGCACATACATGTAGTTCCGGAAAAGTTGCGAAGTAGTTGTTTGTGAAAATGAAGGAAGTTGCGAAAGTTGCGATTTCTTCCAAAACAACAAAAAGTTGCGAAAAAAGTGGCGAGCATCTTTGGGAAAACCCGGAAAGGGCTAGTACGAGCGAGCACACAATAGTACAAACGTACATGTATATACTATGGAACCCCTAAGTACTGGAGCTTCCCCTTTCATACCCTGTTTATTTTGTTTTTTGTTTTTCTCACTTCACCTAGTTTTAGGTTTGCTCCTTCTTTCAATATAGCTATGAATAGGATGAAGGCCGCAGACATCACGCAACTGCGTTACTTGTTCCCTCTTTTTTCCTTTTTATCTTCTTATGACCGGTTTTTCGGGCCTCTTTGTAGTAGTGCATTGTACTGTTGAGCCACCTAAGTAAAATGAACCCAATACAATACTATACCTTGCATTACCATGATGACTGCAGCGGTGCATAATAATATTATAAGCGTGTGCTTACGTGTACATGTTCATCCCCGGCCACAGACCCTTCTACAGCTTCTCCTTTGCGTCGCTCGAGCTGAACCCATGCAGCACATTTATTGCGTGAAGCGAGTCAGCCGGTATTCTGTCTTTCGCTATCCATGCATTTTGGATCTCGGATGTGGAGCCAGTAAATACAAGGAGAGAAATGACCAAAGGGTATGCGGGTTATGACCAACAATCAGGGATTTGTATAGACCTGTACAACTTCCTGGTAGCAATCCATTCGCCAGGTGACAGTCAGCTTTGCCCTAGCTGTTGGAATTTCTGACTGTCCATTGCCTGGTTCAATTGATGCTTAGAACTCTTTGAGTTCCTTCCTTCCTTTCCCAGTATTATGCTGGGGATATGTCAACAGACGTCATCGCCTTCGAACTGACAGGGAACTCTAAAAGCGACTTTAGTGATTGATGATCGAAATTCAACTGGTAACCATTTGGCAGGCCGACAGTGCAGTCCATCATTCCATCACTATCAGCACTAAGGCAAGAAATTTCGCTGACTCCATACACCGCAGTGAGCACAGTGGGGATCTACTGTATGGGAGTCATACTCATAGGTCAACTTCAAGTAACAGTTCAACCCGTCACTGGTCAGTAACCAGCGTGTAAAAACCAGATATTAAATCATTGTGTGTAACGGTAGTCAGTACATGTGGCTTTATGCTGCTGGCGAATGGCTGCAAGATAGTCGCTTCCCTTTGTCACTCGGCTCTGCCTCCCTCGGTCTGCCATTTGCGTTATTTCTCGTGTTCACTTTCTTTGGCTTTCAGCAGGACCCTGCTTGCTACTTCGATGTAGTTGTGCGCTTTCGGTATACCGAAGCAATGGCCCGACTTCTGACAACGACTTCACCTAGGATCTTCCAGGATTAGCAGTGCAAAATGCGGTTCTCTTCAGCCGCCAAACACAGTCCGACAATGTCATCTCGACAGAACAAGCACGACCGTAGTTTGGCGTTTAACTGCTTCTCATTTATCTGCTTCGCTTCAGCGGCATGCTCACAAACGCAACAAGAACCAAACAGCGAACCGAATTTCGCAACTGGCGCCATTCCTGTGGAGGCGAGTTCGGGACGCACGGCCACGCACCACTTCTGTCGTCTGCGGGTTATCGAAGATGGCCGTGTCAAGGTTGGCGCGCTGCTGCAACTTCATGACTCGTTCGACTACAGCACACAGACGTGCCAAGAGTTTAGCAGTTGGGCGGCTGTCCAACAAACTACTGCTTTCACATACATGCTCAAAACCTACCAGGACGAGTTCCACATCGATGTGGATTCGTCCGTTGTGCAACGACATCTGCAGACCGCACCGCTTACCACGAGACTGACGAGTGGACTAGCCTTCGACGCCTGCGGGTCAAATCAACTGGCAGTGGAATTAGCACAGATTTTAGCAGCAGACTCCATCGTTTACCGAAAAGTTGCACTCACGAATATGTTTCACCGCGTACCACCCTTGGACAACGAGTGCGGGGTGCAAAACTTCACAGAAGCTTTGACGAGATCTCCACCCCTGCTCGCAGTGATTGGCCCAATGTCAACAAGCAGTACTTTGGCCACGTCGCCGTTTCTCTCCAACTACCAGATTCCCCACATCTCGTACTGGGCCAGCAGCACTCTCTTTGACGATGTGTCCGACTATCCGTATCTCTTCCGAGCAGTGCCCTCCGACAAATTCCAAGCCGAGGCAATTGCAGACCTGATTGAACACTTTGGGTGGACCTTTGTGTCGTTAATAGCAGCTGAAGATGATGCTTACAGCGGACAAGGCTTCGATTTGATTGTCTCCGAAGCAAACAGGCGGCAAACATTTTGCTTGGAGATTTCTGCTCGCTTCAACAAGAGACCCGGGTTCCGTGACCAGTTGGTGAGTACTGTAGCAACCTTGAAGCAGTCGAGTTCACGCGTGGTCATCCTCTATGCTCCCATATCTGCAGCCAGGGTGTTTCTGAGTATGTGCCAACAGATAAACGTGGATAACAAGATCTTTGTTGGCAGCCATGACTGGGTGAACAGGCTGACATTCCCAGAAAACTCCATTCAGGTTAAAGCGCCCATTCTTGGCCTGGCACCACGAGCTGTTGCTTCCAGCAGCGCCCAGCGTTTGCTCCAGAACTTGACACAGTCGTTGAGGGATGCGGAGTACATTAAAGCTGCAACTACGGAAGATCCCTGGCTGCGGGCATACGTAGAAGACCAGCTACAATGCACCATGGGGATTATGGACAGTTGCCGAATCAAACTCATGCCAAGCCGCACAACACAGCTCCGTCAGTGCACCGATGCCGATATTAAACGCTTCCTGCCGAGAGAGTCAATGGTGATCGCCGAGTCATTGATTTTGGGCATGATATCGACCGCGGCTGCAACAGTAGCAGCCATTCGGTCACATGATCTTGGCAACGGTACCGTACCCGGAGGGCCAGTTCAACTGAAGATTTTAGAAAATCTTGCACTGCCGTGTAAGAACTATACTTCGTTCTGTCGTGTGTTTGACAAACTCCACCACACAACCCCAACATATTATATACAGAATGTCCAGCTTACTGCAAATGGCTTCCACGACATAGTCTCCATCGGGCACTGGAAAGAAGGAAGCCGCTCAAAATTTGAATGGTATCCAGATCAAGTGTTAGACTTGAAAATGTTTGGTAACTTCACCCTTGACAGTACCACTCCTGCCACATCCAGGTCCACTCTGAGGGGATTGCCAGCATCTAATTGCAGCACAACTTGTTATCCAGGCCAGCATCGTGTATTCAATGCCAGCTTGCCAATGCTGTGTTGCTGGTCATGCGAGGTCTGTGCTGGGACTACATTCTCCAATGTCACAAATGCCGATATTTGTACTAACTGCCCTCTCGGCTTTGGATCCAACGGAACATCCTGTTCTGAGTTCAACCCTGTGGAATACGGCATCAAAGACCCAGGATTTATAACAGTGACATGTTTTGCCATCCTAGGGCTGATTCTTAGTGTTTCTACGTTGCTGTATTTTCGCCTGCATCCCAACGCTGTTCTTGTGAAGGCATCTGATCTTACTCTCAGCACCCTGAGTATGTCCGCCATGATCATTGGGCATTGTGTTGCTTTGGGCATCACCATCCCAACCAGCATCACCTCAACATACTGCACACTGAGTGCAGTGTTGCCCGAGCCCGTCAAGACCATTGTTGTCGGTTCAGTTCTAGTCAAGACCAAGCGCTTTGACAGCATCTTCAACTCCATGACCATCCTGAGTCGCAACAAGACTCGACGGCGTCTTCTTGGAAACCCGGTACAACTTGCTGGTGTCTGCATGTTGACACTTATAAACAGTGTATTGTCAGCTCTGTACATCGTTTTACAACCACCAGTTGCTGTCAAAATTCCTGCAGTTCATCAGCTAACATTTCACTGTAGCATAAGCCATGTTTGGGTCAGTGTTTTAAGCGCGTTCAACTTTTTGCTTCTCGTAACTTGCATTGTGCTGGCGTTTCTGACACGCAAATTGCCGGAAGAGTACAATGAAGCGCAGCTCCTGTACCTCGCCTCGTTGACCGGATTTATTGTTTGGCTCGGTCTGTATCCAGCGCTTGTTGTCACCGGGCCATCGCTCCGGCCACTGATTCAGGCCATTCTCCTGGAAGGTGAGATGTGGGCGTTCTGGATTTGCCTCTACGCACCGCGCATGATACAGATGCTGCGCCACGAGAGATACAGGCAGCGTGGCCAACTCAAAACCTTCGCTGCGGATGGGCACTTGTCAGCTGCACGAACCTTGTTTTCGACCTCGTCCGCTGATCAACCTGGCTGTGTAGTACTATCACAACAAGGGGAAGACCTTCCACCTACAAAATAGTTATCAACGTACATATACATGTAGGTTATTGGAGCCTAGCAATGACCCATAACCATTCTGGTCGTAGGGGCGCCATCTGTGTCATACGGCAGCAGCATCAAAGAGAACAGAAAAAAGAAAAAAATAGTAATAGCAGTAATAGCAGCATAAAAACTAGCATTGTGACTCCGAATTTTCAGCAATTCCTGTGCCATGCTACCCATGTATGAAAAACTACACAAAGTGCATACGACTGTACAAGTTCCTACAAACCAAGCGGTTTTTACATGCTTGCTGCTGGTGACTTGCTGGAAATATGGAGCAACAGCAGCATTATACGTAGCATTGTGATCAGGGCTTTGTTCTATTAACGCACTCTCCACATAGAGGCATGCACCCGGCTCAGAACACATTGTTTTCTGGTTGGCATATCAGGGATATTGGGCGGAGCAGCTGGCGTGCATGAGAAAGACAGGTCGGCCTGCTCTGCGCAGGAGCTGTGACCCGGTGCACACATAGTGTGTGTGAGAGAGAGACAGACAGGTCGGCCTGCTCTGCGCAGGAGCTGTGACCTGGAGCACACAGAGTGTGAACGAGAGACGGTCGGCCTGCCGTGGGCAGGAGCTGCGACCGGTAGTGATTGAAATGAGCCAGCTGCGGAGATAGACTGCCCTCACCCGATATAAGTATATTGACAAGAGTTGTACTGGCACTGTTATTGAGGAAATTATGGTGACAGTGACGGAGAGATAGTGATCCCCAGTCGAATGGGGTTGGGAGGGAAGGGGAAATTGACACTGACGGACAAACCAGTGAACAGTCAAGTCGTCAGAAAGCAAAAGTGACAAAGGAGTCTCTCTTTTCTCCTTCTCTCTCTCTAAAGCAAGATTTGGAATGCATGCGTGGGAGAGTGGCGCGCGCTGCGCATGCGCATGTATAGCAATGACATCATAATCAGATGCATGATCATCAGACTAAGTATGAGTGGTAGATGTTCCACGTTCGTTAACAGGGCTTAGCGCACACGCTAAACCACCATTTATGATACTGCTTTTCTGGCATTGCCATCAATATTATTCCACGGATTAACTAGCATTATCCGCTTAGGCAGAACTGTGTGCGTGTGTGTGTGGAGGTGTGAAACCTTCCAAGGTCTAACACCACAAGTCACAACAGTCCACAGCACACATTGCGTGAGGCCTCCCTCATGTATGCGTCGACCTGCGTGTATCTGGCATTAAATGATTTGGTGGAGCATAAATTGGTCCGTGCTGTGTACAAGTACGTGATGTGTTTTGACTTGGATGATAAGCTCCTCTTTGTTACCGCTGCCCCTGGAATTCTCTCCCCACTGACATTAGAACCACCCAAAATAGTCATTGCTTTGTGTCTCGTGTCCGTACCATCTAAGTCCATCTTTGCCAACACCCGCTTTGAGCCCGCTGGTTTCATTCCTTCCAGAGTTTCTGTAACATAGTAACGAATGTTTGTATATAGTATGTTCCCATTCCGTTTTTGCTTTGGTGTAGCCCTGAGGTTGATTTGCTTATTTATTTCTACCCTTCCTCTCTCCGTACTTCTGCCCCCCCCTCTCTCTCTCTCTCATTCCTCCTGTCGTCCACATGTATCAAAGGAGGCGAAATCATGCGCCTGTTTGTGGTGCGACGTTAAATAAACTTCTACAACAACAAGAACAACAATGTTATTGCTGATTTCTACAGTACGCATTTGTTATAACCCTTCCTCTTCTCAATCTATATGTTACAATTTTGCAGATATATTCCCAGTAAGCCATGAACGGAGACAGACCCCTCGACTTAGGCCTCGGCCTTTGAGGAATCCATAAAAAAATTTAAAAATATAAAAAATATAAATAAGCAGCTACAAGTACAAGCGTTCACGGTCATATGCTGCGTTCGATGTAAGCCATTGCTCTATTTCCTTGCATAGCGCTGATCATCACGTTCATTTAATTAAACACAGGGGAATGGTCCACAAAACGCCAAATCACAAGGGCCCAGAACCATACCCCCCCCCCCCCACACACACACACATACATGTATGCGTGGGCTGTGGACTGCTATGACTTGCGTGGTGGGACCTAAGGGAGCCCCCCCCCCCAGCCCAAATAAACACGTCCGTTCAAAGTGTATGATGTCAATCTTAATCAATCTCTCTATTTCTTGGACCGTGCCGGAGGGAGGCCAGCAGTAAAGGCCGCAGGCCTCCCGGTCGCAACTAACTGTGACCATGTCGACTGACAAATATCGGAGTCAGCGGCGCGGATACGTATAGCCTGGGAATACTGGCCCCATCTGATCACGATTCCTTGCTCAAAGAGCGCAGAGAGGCCGATACCGGGAGTTCAGTTTGCTGCAGCGTATCGGACAATTTCCTAGTGTATACTATTTTTTTTGATTTTTATTTCCCAAAGGCTTTCGTGATCCCATGAAGAATGCTGATGGGATCCTTCTTTACACAGAGAAAGAAAAAATCTTTGAAGGCCTCCAAATGCAAACCCGAGGGCCCGCAACTTCCGCGCAAGGTTGGGAAATAAACAGCGGTGCAACCACTTCGCACGTCCTGCATAACGTCACAACAAGTATAATATATATATGCTGATCACGCTGATGCAGCCTGGGAAGGTGCAACGTCTTCGAGCCTGTTACGACATTATTGTCACATTCCTGAGGTGGATCGAGAAGTCTGGAGCTTGGTTACAACCGGAATTTCAACACAGCTAATTCAGCTATATCCCGCTGTTTTTTAAAGTGTTGCTTGTTAATTTAAATTCGCAAGTACAAGCGGGCTTGAAGCCCAGTCACATGAGATCCTAGACCTGCACTCCTCGTAAAACCGGATCATGCTGACGTTGTACAAGCCATCTCTGAGGACACTTGTGGTTGTATGGGACGACACATAGTGTGACAGCTGTAGGAAATAGGGCCAAGCCGGGTGTCACATACTAGATGTTAAACCCTTCACTTATCACCTGTATGGTATCACCTCACCGCCACTGAATTTGTAATGCCGCAATATTACTTGTAGCATGATCATATCGCAGTGACATAACACCAGCCAGAATGGAAGAAGGCATGCAGGATCATGTGGTCCCAGGAGTTGTCCAAGCAGCAGCAGCAGCAGCAGCAGCAGCAACAGGCTATTGCAGGGACTAGAAGGCGGGGCTTCAAGCGCGGCTTCTGGCCCAAGCTGTCCAACCCTGGCATCAAGGCTTGCAGCAGACGCGACCTGATCCTAATAACCCAGCGGCGGAGGCAATGGAAAGAGCCGTACAGTTCTATCTTTTGTTTTTTGGTGCGTTTTTTTTGCCGTGATGCCGAGACCTCAGCTTCAGGTCGGCAGAGCCATCAATGCTCCACCATCACTGCTGCGTCTCGGTGAAGCCCCTGCTCAGTAGTTGTCACGTTTGTCCTAGTCTCAGTACCATTGTCTTTTCATGAATTTCGGAGTGCTTATTGCTGAGGATGGTGGTGAATGCTTGTCAACCGAACAGTGCACTGTGTGTACGTGGGGTGCAACAAAAAAGTTCAAAAAACGCTGGAAAATCGCGGAAAACGCGGTCTTTTAAAAATCGCAAAAAACGCGGGGGAAAAAACGCGGCCGCGGAATCGCGATTTTCCCCGGGGACAGGCTAACCAGCATCATGAGCACTGCAAGGGTTCCCGCCACTTCTTACGCATCGCCCCCCCCCCCCCCCCCCCCGCATGCCCGTCACAATGTGAACTACTGTAGGCAACGGAGCCATGGCCAGTGTGTGATGAAGGTGAATGCACTGTTTGATGATGCTCCAGAAAATCCTTTCACCGTTGTATGGAATTTGTAAGAGTAGTGGCTCAACTGTGGGTCCAACGCAGAAGGTACCTCACAGCGCAGTTCTGCTTTAATTTAAAACATACTTACTCAGGTAGGTGCATCGGACACACTCTAGCAGTATTTGTTCCACGTCCTCCCAGAAGGAGACACATGTAAGTTCAGTCATGTCTTCAGTACATGGAATATCGTTGCCTCGTTGCAACCAAACAGGTATGCAAGTTACTTTCCCCATGAGACCCAGTGGGAGTCGCATCGTCATCATTAGCAGCTAATCATGGAGGGGTATTGTGACTTTCGACCACTCCCTGATTCAATCAAAGTTTGCCAGCCTGCGCCAAACTGCTTTCTCACTAGAGCCAGACATTGGATACATAGGGCTTCAGTAAGGTCTACAACACCATATCTCTGGGCTAAGTCCAGTCTGGATACAGTTGCTCAGAGTCAAAGCTGATAAAATGTTCATAATCGGAACAAGTGAGACTTCAACATTAGCTAGTACTACATCAGGCCTGAGGACTTCCCAGCGTTTCTCCAGCACACTTGTTCTCTCCTTCAAATCAGATCATGGTGACTACTTCTAAAGGCCATCTGGCTCTCACGCTCGGTCCCTCCACTCTTCATTTTCCGTAGTTTGGACTTCCGCTCGTGACTCCGCACGTGTCTGGCCTCTCCGCAGTCTGTCCTCACGGGAGGGTCGCTCTGGAGGTAGTGCAGCAATAAAATGGAATCGAGTTCTTTCTGAGACGTCGACCAACTTTCGCTGTGCTTGACTCCGCTTCCACTGCGGGAAAGTAGTCACACTCCAGGACCACGACTTGCTTGCTGCAGGTTATGATTACACTATTTCCAATGATACTAAAAAATACGTAAAAATTCCCTCATTCAAGCTCATCTCGCTATGACATGAATCGATTTTTCTGCGTGTCGGTTCGGAAAGGAGCTTATGGAACAGGAGCCTCTGCCTTCAGTTCCATCTCGGCTTGTGTACTCAGGAGCGCAGCTGCGCTTCGGCATGACGATACAAGCCAAATCAAAACAACTCTAGCCAAAAATAACTAGCTCAGTGTTCGTCAGGCAAAAAGCGAAAGTCTCAAACTCAAAAGATCAGGAAGTCACTCTGATCAGAGTGGCCGGAAGGTCCACTTGCCCCGTCTCGAACCCAGACAATATTTGTGCAAGTCATCTATTCGCAGCATGGAAGGTCCGGGAAGGATTTCTGATAATGCCAGCTTCACAATCACCAAGACAAATCCGCCTAGCCTGGGTAGCTGCTTTTCGGCAGAACCCGGATGAAGATTGTATCCGACAAGGCATCATCAACGCAGGAGACTGCCAGGAGGACAGACTAGCAGTGCAGTCCACCTACCAGCACCAAGGCAAGACATTTCGCTGACACCATACGGTACCGGGTGGTAGCAGGGGGGGGGGGGGGGGGGTGGAACAATAGCAACAGAGCCTGCTCGATCACGGGTAATCATTCGGACTAATGACGTCAGTAATGAGTAATGGCCGCAGTGAGCACACTGTAGTGTAGAGTCCACTGTAGTCTCGGTTGCGTATGGGAGTCATAGATCACCTTCAACCCGCTCAGTCACTGGTCAGTAACCAGCGTGTACGTGTGGCAAGCACATTATCATTGTGTGTACCGGTATACCGGTAGTCAGTAGCTTTACGCTGCTGGCGAATGGCTGCAAGATAGTCGCTTCCCTTCGTTCTGCCTCCCTCGGTCAACCATTTGCGTTATTGAGCTCGTGTTCACTTTCTTTGGCTTTCATCAGGACCATGCTTGCTACTTCGACGTAGTTGTATACCGAAGCAATTTCCCGGTTTCCAACAACGACTTCACCTAGTACCTAGGATCTTCCAGGGCTAGCAGCGCAAAGTGCTCTTCTCTTCAGTCGCCAAACACAGTCGGACAATGCCATCTCGACAGAACAAGCACGACCGCAGTTTGGCGTTTAACTGCTTCTCATTTATCTGCTTCGCTACAGCGGCATGCTCACAAACGCAACAAGAACCAAGCAGTAAACCGAATTTTACAGCTGGGGTCATTCCTGTGGAGGCCAGTTCGGGGAGCACGGCAACACACCACTTCTGTCGTCTGCGGGTTATCGAAGATGGCGTTCTCAAGGTTGGCGCGCTGCTGCAACTTCATGACTCGTTCGACTACAGTACACAGACGTGCCAAGAGTTCAGCAGTTGGGCGGCTGTCCAACAAACTACTGCTTTCACATACATGCTCAAAACCTACCAGGACGAGTTCGACATCGATGTGGATTCGTCCGTTGTGCAACGATATCTGCGGGCCGCACCGCTTACCACGAAACTGACAAGTGGACTAGCCTTCGACGCCTGCGGGTCAAATCAACTGGCAGTGGAATTGGCACAGATTTTAGCAGCAGATTCCATGGTGTACCGAAAAGTTGCATTCACGAATCTGTTTCACCAAGTGTCACCCTTGGACAACGAGTGCGGGCCGCAAAACTTCACAGAAGCTTTGAGGAGCCGGAGATCTCCACCCCTGCTGGCAGTGATTGGCCCAATGTCAGCAAGCAGTACACTGGCCACATCGCCGTTTTTCTCCAACTACCAGATTCCCCACATCTCGTACTGGGCCAGCAGCACTCTCTTTGACGATGTGTCCGACTATCCGTATCTATTCCGAGCAGTGCCCTCCGACAAATTCCAAGCCGAGGCAATTGCAGACCTGATCGAACACTTTGGGTGGACCTTCGTGTCGTTAATAGCAGCTGAAGATGATGCTTACAGCGGACAGGGCTTCGATTTGATTGTCTCCGAAGCAAACAGGCGGCAAACATTTTGCTTGGAGATTTCTGCTCGCTTCAACAAGAGACCAGGGTTCCGTGACCAGTTGGTGAGCACTGTGGCCAGCTTGAAGCAGTCGAGTTCACGCGTAGTCATCCTCTATGCTCCTATATCTGCAGCCAGGGTGTTTCTGAGTATGTGCCAACAGATGAACGTGGATAACAAGATCTTTGTTGGCAGCCATGACTGGGTGAACAGGCTGACATTCCCAGAAAACTCCATCCAGACCAAAGCCCCCATTCTTGGCCTGGCACCACGAGCTGTTGCTTCCAGCAGCGTCCAGCGTTTGCTCCAGAACTTGACACAGTCGTTGAGGGATGCGGAGTACATTAAAGCTGCAACTACGGAAGATCCTTGGCTGCGGGCATACGTAGAAGACCAGCTACAATGCGCCATGGGGATTACGGACAGTTGCCAAATCAAACTCATGCCAAACCGCACAGCACAGCTCCGTCAGTGCACCGATGCCGATATTAAACGCTTCCTACCGAGAGAGTCAATGGTGATCGCTGAGTCATTGATTTTGGGCATGATATCGATCGCGGTTGCAACAGTAGCAGCCATTCGGTCACATGATCTTGGCAACCGCACCGTACCCGGAGGGCCAGTCCAACTGAAGATTTTAGAAAATCTTGCACTGCCATGTAAGAACTATACTTCCCAATGTCGTGTGTTCGACAAACTCCATCGCACAGCCCCGACATATTATATACAGAATGTCCAGCTTACTGCAAATGGCTTCCACAACATAGTCTCCATCGGGCACTGGAAAGACGGAAGCCGCTCAAAATTTGAATGGTATCCAGGTCAAGTGCTAGATTTGAAAGTGTTTGGTAACTTCACCCTTGACAGTTCCACTCTTGCCCCCTCCAAGTCGACTCTGAGCACATTGCCAGCATCGAATTGCAGCACGACTTGTTATCCAGGTCAGCATCATGTATTCAATGCCAGCTTGCCAATGCTATGTTGCTGGTCATGCGTGGTCTGTGCTGAGACTACATTTTCCAATGTCACAAATGCCGACAGTTGTACTAACTGCCCTCTCGGCTTTGGATCCAACGGAACATCCTGTTCTGAGTTCAGCCCTGTGGAATACGGAATCGGCGTAGACCTAGCATTTATAACAACGACATGTTCTGCCATCGTAGGATTGATTCTCAGCGTTTCTTCATTGATTTATTTTCGCCTGCATCCCAATGCTGTCCTTGTAAAGGCATCCGATCTAACTCTCAGCACTCTGATTATGTCTGCCATGATCATTGGGCATTGTGTTGCTTTGGGCATCACCATCCCAGCCAGCATCACCTCAACATACTGCACACTGAGTGCAGTGTTGCCCGAGCCCGTCAAGACCATTGTTGTCGGTTCAGTTCTAGTCAAGACCAAGCGCTTTGACAGCATCTTCGGCTCCATGACGATCCTAAGTCGCAACAAGACTCGACGGCGTCTTCTTGGAAATCCTGTCCAGCTTGCGAGTGTCTGCGTGTTGACTCTTGTAAACACTATGTTGTCAGCTATGTATATTGTTTTAGAACCATCAGTTGCTGTCAAAATTCCTGCAGTTCATCAGCTAACATTTCACTGTAGCATAAGCCATGTTTGGTTCGGTGCTTTAAGTGCGTTCAACTTTGTGCTTCTCGCAACTTGCGTTGTGCTGGCATTTATGACACGCAAACTGCCGGAAGAGTACAACGAAGCGCATTTCCTGTACCTGGCCTCGCTGAGCGGATTTATTGTTTGGCTCGGCCTGTATCCAGCGCTTTTTATCGCCCGCACGTTGTTCCCGCAGCTGTTTCAGGCCATTGTCCTGGTAGGTGAGATGTGGGCGTTCTGGATTTGCCTCTACGCACCGCGCATGATACAGATGCTGCGCCACGAGAGATAAAGGCAGCCTCGCCGACTCAAACGGTTCACTGCGGATGGGCAATTGTCATCTGCACGAACCTCGTGTTCTACCCCGTCCTCTGATCAACCTGGCGGTGTAGTCCTTTCACAACTTTAAGGGGAAGATCTGCCACTTGACAATATTAGTCATCGACATACAGTGCTAAATATATAACAGCAGTCAGCATACAGTGTAGGCCGCTACACAACATTTCACGCAGCAAACTGTGCTGTAGAGAAGGTTAGAATGTACAATAAGCCTAACAGTGACACATAACAATGTCATGCTTTCACTCGGAGTGAAAATATGCATTCGTAATGTATCTCAAGGTACGCATGACATTCCTCATGCAGTTGTGCTGCGCCACAGTGTTATCTTTTTAAGTTAATCTATGACGGCTCCTTTTCTGGTTGTTTTGGCATCATTAATTCATTATGCAAAAGAACTCACTCAATTTCTAGTAACTAACAACTTCCGTGATTTTTTTGAAATTATGGTTGCGATTTCAGCAACTTTCACTTGTTTTGGCATGGTTGCGAAAAGCATAAGTAGCGAAATGTGTTGGCATATCTTTGTGAAAAGGCTACATACCAGGGCTGTGACAAGTACTGTGTAGGCTCTATGCCTCTTGACAGTCTATGCAGGGATTTCAAGACGCTACTTGTCTGTCCAGACAACCTGATGCCGAATACTAGCGTTATTACATCTGTGGTAGTTTAGGCCATTAGGGGTTATAGGTCGGGCCCTGGACGACGGCTACATGGCCAACCAAACAACAACAAAGTGGAGGCCAAAGAGAATGATTTTTATTATTGCGCATACTTATCACGTAGTGTGACGTAACAGTCGGGAGTCAGGCCGCTACAGTACTTCCCCGCCAGTGGTGAGGTCGGGAGGAGCGAAGCACGATAAACAAAATTTAATAAAGGGAGAGAAGAGTAAGGTAGCACGGTATGTACTAGGCGGAAAGGCAAAAAATATGTGATACATATGTACAAGCGAAAGCGAGCATGAAATTTGTGAATAACGTGGCAACTAAGACCGAAACAAAAGTCCGAAAAGCAGGAAGAGGACAGAGAGATGCATGGCAGAGGGGAGGGGGGTTAACGTGTCAGAGGTGTGTGACAGAGGTGGAGAGCATGAAGGAGGCAGAAAGAAAATAAAGAGGAAACGTACGCATGACAGAGGAGTATTATCGAGTCAGAGGTAGAAAGAAAGAAACTGAAAGGAAACGTACGCGTGACAGAGGAGTGTTATCATGTCAAGGCGGCTGCATGTTGCAGGCTTTGCGGGGTACCAGCTGAAACACTTCACAGGGGCGAGGCGTGCCGAGTGAGGCAGCGACGGATGGAGGCGGGCGCAGCTCCAATAAATCCGATGAGCCGGGCGTGTGCCTGCATGAGTGCACACGAGAACTGATACGAGGGGTGGAGGTGGCCAATTTCCAGCTTGATACACAAACATGTTGATAGAAGTCTGCAGCTAATCTAAGGAGTAACACACAACCCAATACATAGACACAAACACAAAACACTAGCACGCAAACTTCTGCCATCCTGCAATCCAATGAGTTCACTCATCCCAAATCAAAACCACAACTCAAACTCGCCGCCACATCGTAGTAAACGGCAGAAAAGAATAAAGGAAAGTTTTGAAATCATATCTTGGTCCGGTCGTCCGATACCCGAACCCGGCCGTTCCGTTCCGACAAACTGACAACCCAACTATGTCGACGGTCAACCTTCAACAGGGCCCGCAGATCCAGCGGTGAACAAGTTAACGTCTACTTCGAAGTAGTAATAGGATAACTTGGAAAAAACGTTCAAACCCTGTTCGGACTGTAATTCAAAAAATGTGTATGAAATCAAAGGCATGATGCACTTAGCACTACCGGCTCAAGTGATTCACATGTTTTAAAGAAGAAGGAGTTCCTAGAAGTAGGTTCTCCTTTTGAAAGTGAGTGCGTGCTTTTCAACTAAACCAATCAATCTCACCGTCCACGGAAAAAGTGCAAAAGAGTGAAATTCCCGTGTAAATATTTTACCACAGTGCATTATCTGAAAAAGAAAAATTATTTACACCATTTTCTACCACTGAAAGCTGTGCTAGTAAGTAATGCTTATGATTTTTTGGCAATGCCGAAAACCGACATTGCCAAAAAAACCCTAAGCAACACTTACCGAGTTCTTTGCCGTTTGCTTCTCGTCGCCGTCCTCGCTGCAACTTGATCCCTCCGCTTCTCTCCTATGCAATGGCGCCGGTATACAAATATGTTGATAGAAGTCTGCAGCTAATCTAAGGAGTAACACACAACCCAATACATAGACACAAACACAAAACACTAGCACGCAAACTTCTGCCATCCTGCAATCCAATGAGTTCACTCATCCCAATCAAAACCACAACTCAAACTCGCCGCCACATCATAGTAAACGGCAGAAAAGAATAAAGAAAAGTTTTGAAATCATATCTTGGTCCGGTCGTCCGATACCCGAACCCGGCCGTTCCGTTCCGACAAACTGACAACCCAACTATGTCGACGGTCAACCTTCAACAGGGCCCGCAGATCCAGCGGTGAACAAGTTAACGTCTACTTCGAAGTAGTAATAGGATAACTTGGAAAAAAACGTTCAAACCCTGTTCGGACTGTTATTCAAAAAATGTGTATGAAATCAAAGGCATGATGCACTTAGCACTACCGGCTCAAGTGATTCACATGTTTTAAAGAAGAAGGAGTTCCTAGAAGTAGGTTCTCCTTCTGAAAGTGAGTGCGTGCTTTTCAACTAAACCAATCAATCTCACCGTCCACGGAAAAAGTGCAAAAGAGTGAAATTCCCGTGTAAATATTTTACCACAGTGCATTATCTGGAAAAGAAAAATTATTTACACATTTTCTACCACTGAAAGCTGTGCTAGTAAGTAACGCTTATGATTTTTTGGCAATGCCGAAAATCGACATTGCCAAAAAACCCTAAGCAACACTTACCGAGTTCTTTGCCGTTTGCTTCTCGTCGCCGTCCTCGCTGCAACTTGATCCCTCCGCTTCTCTCCTATGCAATGGCGCCGGTATACAAACATGTTGATAGAAGTCTGCAGCTAATCTAAGGAGTAACACACAACCCAATACATAGACACAAACACAAAACACTAGCACGCAAACTTCTGCCATCCTGCAATCCAATGAGTTCACTCATCCCAATCAAAACCACAACTCAAACTCGCCGCCACATCATAGTAAACGGCAGAAAAGAATAAAGAAAAGTTTTGAAATCATATCTTGGTCCGGTCGTCCGATACCCGAACCCGGCCGTTCCGTTCCGACAAACTGACAACCCAACTATGTCGACGGTCAACCTTCAACAGGGCCCGCAGATCCAGCGGTGAACAAGTTAACGTCTACTTCGAAGTAGTAATAGGATAACTTGGAAAAAAACGTTCAAACCCTGTTCGGACTGTTATTCAAAAAATGTGTATGAAATCAAAGGCATGATGCACTTAGCACTACCGGCTCAAGTGATTCACATGTTTTAAAGAAGAAGGAGTTCCTAGAAGTAGGTTCTCCTTCTGAAAGTGAGTGCGTGCTTTTCAACTAAACCAATCAATCTCACCGTCCACGGAAAAAGTGCAAAAGAGTGAAATTCCCGTGTAAATATTTTACCACAGTGCATTATCTGAAAAAGAAAAAATATTTACACATTTTCCACCACTGAAAGCTGTGCTAGTAAGTAACGCTTATGATTTTTTGGCAATGCCGAAAATCGACATTGCCAAAAAACCCTAAGCAACACTTACCGAGTTCTTTGCCGTTTGCTTCTCGTCGCCGTCCTCGCTGCAACTTGATCCCTCCGCTTCTCTCCTATGCAATGGCGCCGGTACACAAACATGTTGATAGAAGTCTGCAGCTAATCTAATGAGTAACACACAACCCAATACACAGACACCAAACACTAGCACGGCAAACTTCTGCCAAATCTGTCCGCCAGGCAGGCTTCACGCTAAGTTTGGAAACCGTTTGCTCACACATCAAGCGAAAAACTGAAAAACAAAAAAAACAAAAAAAAGGAATTTGATCGATCACCTCCGCCTTCGGTATGCCTTCAACGCTCTTGTCATTCAATTCAACCAATCAATCTCATCGTCCACGGGAAAAGTGCAAAAGAGTGAAATTCCCGTGTAAATATTTTACCACAGTGCATTATCTGAAAAAGAAAAATTATTTACACCATTTTCTACCACTGAAAGCTGTGCTAGTAAGTAATGCTTATGATTTTTTGGCAATGCCGAAAATCGACATTGCCAAAAAACCCTAAGCAACACTTACCGAGTTCTTTGCCGTTTGCTTCTCGTCGCTGTCCTCGCTGCAACTTGATCCCTCCGCTTCTCTCCTATGCAATGGCGCCGGTATACAAACATGTTGATAGAAGTCTGCAGCTAATCTAATGAGTAACACAAAACCCAATACATAGACACAAACACAAAACACTAGCACGCAAACTTCTGCCATCCTGCAATCCAATGAGTTCACTCATCCCAATCAAAACCACAACTCAAACTCGCCGCCACATCATAGTAAACGGCAGAAAAGAATAAAGAAAAGTTTTGAAATCATATCTTGGTCCGGTCGTCCGATACCCGAACCCGGCCGTTCCGACAAACTGACAATCCAACTATGTCGACGGTCAACCTTCAACAGGGCCCGCAGATCCAGCGGTGAACAAGTTAACGTCTACTTCGAAGTAGTAATAGGATAACTTGGAGAAAAAGGTTCAAACCCTGTTCGGACTGTAATTCAAAAAATGTGTATGAAATCAAAGGCATGATGCACTTAGCACTACCGGCTCAAGTGATTCACATGTTTTAAAGAAGAAGGAGTTCCTAGAAGTAGGTTCTCCTTCTGAAAGTGAGTGCGTGCTTTTCAACTAAACCAATCAATCTCATCGTCCACGGAAAAAGTGCAAAAGAGTGAAATTCCCGTGTAAATATTTTACCACAGTGCATTATCTGAAAAAGAAAAATTATTTACACCATTTTCTACCACTGAAAGCTGTGCTAGTAAGTAATGCTTATGATTTTTTGGCAATGCCGAAAATCGACATTGCCAAAAAACCCTAAACAACACTTACCGAGTTCTTTGCCGTTTGCTTCTCGTAGCCGTCCTCGCTGCAACTTGATCCCTCCGCTTCTCTCCTATGCAATGGCGCCGGTACACAAACATGCTGATAGAAGTCTGCAGCTAATCTAAGGAGTAACACACAACCCAATACATAGACACAAACACAAAACACTAGCACGCAAACTTCTGCCATCCTGCAATCCAATGAGTTCACTCATCCCAATCACAACCACAACTCAAACTCGCCGCCACATCATAGTAAACGGCAGAAAAGAATAAAGAAAAGTTTTGAAATCATATCTTGGTCCGGTCGTCCGATACCCGAACCCGGCCGATCCGTTCCGACAAACTGACAACCCAACTATGTCGACGGTCAACCTTCAACAGGGCCCGCAGATCCAGCGGTGAACAAGTTAACGTCTACTTCGAAGTAGGAATAGGATAACTTGGAAAAAAACGTTCAAACCCTGTTCGGACTGTTATTCAAAAAATGTGTATGAAATCAAAGGCATGATGCACTTAGCACTACCGGCTCAAGTGATTCACATGTTTTAAAGAAGAAGGAGTTCCTAGAAGTAGGTTCTCCTTCTGAAAGTGAGTGCGTGCTTTTCAACTAAACCAATCAATCTCACCGTCCACGGAAAAAGTGCAAAAGAGTGAAATTCCCGTGTAAATATTTTACCACAGTGCATTATCTGAAAAAGAAAAAATATTTACACATTTTCTACCACTGAAAGCTGTGCTAGTAAGTAACGCTTATGATTTTTTGGCAATGCCGAAAATCGACATTGCCAAAAAACCCTAAGCAACACTTACCGAGTTCTTTGCCGTTTGCTTCTCGTCGCCGTCCTCGCTGCAACTTGATCCCTCCGCTTCTCTCCTATGCAATGGCGCCGGTACACAAACATGTTGATAGAAGTCTGCAGCTAATCTAATGAGTAACACACAACCCAATACACAGGCACAAAACACTGGCACGGAAAACTTCTGCCAAATCTGTCCTCCAGGCAGGCTTCACGCTAAGTTTGGAAACCGTTTGCTCGCACATCAAGGGAAAAACTGAAAAAACAAAAAAAAACAAAAAAGGAATTTGATCGATCACCTCCGCCTTCGGTATGCCTTCAACGCTTTTCTCATTCAATTCAACCAATCAATCTCATCGTCCACGGAAAAAGTGCAAAAGAGTGAAATTCCCGTGTAAATATTTTACCACAGTGCATTATCTGAAAAAGAAAAAAATATTTACACCATGTTCTACCACGGAAAGCTGTGCTAGTAAGTAATTCTTATGATTTTTTGGCAATGCTGAAAATCGACATTGCCAAAAAATCCTAAGCAACACTTACCGATTTCTTTGCCGTTTGCTTCTCGTCGCCGTCCTCGCTGCAACTTGATCCCTCCGCTTCTCTCCTATGCAATGGCGCCGGTACACAAACATGTTGCTAGAAGTCTGCAGCTAATCTAATGAGTAACACACAACCCAATACACAGACACAAACACAAAACACTAGCACGCAAACTTCTGCCATCCTGCAATCCAATGAGTTCACTCATCCCAATCAAAACCACAACTCAAACTCGCCGCCACATCATAGTAAACGGCAGAAAAGAATAAAGAAAAGTTTTGAAATCATATCTTGGTCCGGTCGTCCGATACCCGAACCCGGCCGTTCCGTTCTGACAAACTGACAACCCAACTATGTCGACGGTCAACCTTCAACAGGGCCCGCAGATCCAGCGGTGAACAAGTTAACGTCTCCTTCGAAGTAGTAATAGGATAACTTGGAGAAAAACGTTCAAACCCTGTTGTTACTGAATTGTTTCTACTACTACTAGCTTAATTAACCACCCCTGCATCCAACCCTTGGCATGCTACAACCGACAACCGTTGCAAACTTGGGTGAGAGAATACATACAGTAGATTCAGTATAAAATTGGAAAGAAGATCATCGAAAGAATGAAAAAGGCAGCTGCATCAGCATGCAGCTGCGCATCAAAATCAAATGTAAAGATGGCGACCATGAACGACTGCGACGTGGATAAACTGCAAAACAAACTAGTGCAGCGACACTGACTCGAATGAGTAAAGAAGCGGAGAAGACGAAACGGCAAGGAAAGCGGATCGCTACGATCGCTCAAATGCACTAGCCTAGAGCGTGCATAGCGCATGCAGTCAAACGGTCACGTGATAAGTGCGTACACAAGTCATACGTCATAATAATGCAGTTGACAAAGAAAAGGAAACAAAGCTGAGCGCGAGGCAAACAAATCTGCAGAGCGCGAAAATATAAACACATTGAACGAAGGATTTGTTTGAGAACAAAATGCACAGGCAGACAAAGAAGAAACAGTTCGAAGCTAGAATCAATGTCCGTGTTTCTTAGAATCAATCATGGAGAAAGCTAACTAAGAGTAACTACCTCTGTCACGCAAGACCGGACCTAAACACCTACGAAGTAAGAATTGATGTGTTACGAGAAATACGTGTAGTGAAATAAATTGGTGTGCATTGCATCGTGACACAACTTGCCAAGCTGCATGTACGTGATTGTAAATGTACAAACAACATGCAACGTCGTAGTAAACACAATCGTAACTCGTGAATTCCGTGTTGGTGACTCAAGGCAAGCAGTACCTTGTGTACACGTTGACAACGACGAACGAATTGATTAGACTCTGATAATAAATACTAATAATATGAAAGAACAACAAAACGTAAATGTCACCTACGATTACACAACACTGTTCGGACTGTTATTCAAAAAATGTGTATGAAATCAAAGGCATGATGCACTTAGCACTACCGGCTCAAGTGATTCACATGTTTTAAAGAAGAAGGAGTTCCTAGAAGTAGGTTCTCCTTCTGAAAGTGAGTGCGTGCTTTTCAACTAAACCAATCAATCTCGTCGTCCACGGAAAAAGTGCAAAAGAGTGAAATTCCCGTGTAAATAATTTACCACAGTGCATTATCTGAAAAGAAAAATTATTTACACCATTTTCTACCACTGAAAGCTGTGCTAGTAAGTAATGCTTATGATTTTTTGGCCATGCCGAAAATCGACATTGCCAAAAAACCCTAAGCAACACTTACCGAGTTCTTTGCCGTTTGCTTCTCGTCGCCGTCCTCGCTGCAACTTGATCCCTCCGCTTCTCTCCAATGCAATGGCGCCGGTACACAAACATGTTGATAGAAGTCTGCAGCTAATCTAATGAGTAACACACAACCCAATACACAGGCACAAAACACTAGCACGGCAAACTTCTGCCAAATCTGTCCGCCAGGCAGGCTTCACGCTAAGTTTGAAAACCGTTTGCTCGCACATCAAGCGAAAAACTTAAAAAAAATAAATAAATAAAAAAAAAGGAATTTGATCGATCACCTACGCCTTCGGTATGCCTTCAACGCTCTTCTCATTCAATTCAACCAATCAATCTCATCGTCCACGGAAAAAGTGCAAAAGAGTGAAATTCCCGTGTAAATATTTTACCACAGTGCATTATCTGAAAAAGAAAAAAATATTTTCACCATTTTCTACCACTGAAAGCTGTGCTAGTAAGTAATTCTTATGATTTTTTGGCAATGCCGAAAATCTACATTGCCAAAAAACCCTAAGCAACACTTACCGAGTTCTTTGCCGTTTGCTTCTCGTCGCCGTCCTCGCTGCAACTTGATCCCTCCGCTTCTCTCCTATGCAATGGCGCCGGTACACAAACATGTTGATAGAAGTCTGCAGCTAATCTAATGAGTAACACACAACCCAATACATAGACACAAACACAAAACACTAGCACGCAAACTTCTGCCATCCTGCAATCCAATGAGTTCACTCATCCCAATCAAAACCACAACTCAAACTCGCCGCCACATCATAGTAAACGGCAGAAAAGAATAAAGAAAAGTTTTGAAATCATATCTTGGTCCGGTCGTCCGATACCCGAACCCGGCCGTTTCGTTCCGACAAACTGACAACCCAACTATGTCGACGGTCAACCTTCAACAGGGCCCGCAGATCCAGCGGTGAACAAGTTAACGTCTACTTCGAAGTAGTAATAGGATAACTTGGAAAAAAACGTTCATACCCTGTTCGGACTGTTATTCAAAAAATGTGTATGAAATCAAAGGCATGATGCACTTAGCACTACCGGCTCAAGTGATTCACATGTTTTAAAGAAGAAGGAGTTCCTAGAAGTAGGTTCTCCTTCTGAAAGTGAGTGCGTGCTTTTCAACTAAACCAATCAATCTCATCGTCCATGGAAAAAGTGCAAAAGAGTGAAATTCCCGTGTAAATATTTTACCACAGTGCATTATCTGAAAAAGAAAAAAATATTTATACCATTTTCTACCACTGAAAGCTGTGCTAGTAAGTAATGCTTATGCTTTTTTTGGCAATGCCGAAAATCGACATTGCCAAAAAACCCTAAACAACACTTACCGAGTTCTTTGCCGTTTGCTTCTCGTCGCCGTCCTCGCTGCAACTTGATCCCTCCGCTTCTCTCCTATGCAATGGCGCCGGTACACAAACATGTTGCTAGAAGTCTGCAGCTAATCTAATGAGTAACACACAACCCAATACACAGACACAAACACAAAACACTAGCACGCAAACTTCTGCCATCCTGCAATCCAATGAGTTCACTCATCCCAATCAAAACCACAACTCAAACTCGCCGCCACATCGTAGTAGACGGCAGAATAGAATAAAGGAAAGTTTTGAAATCATATCTTGGTCCGGTCGTCCGATACCCGAACCCGGCCGTTCCGACAAACTGACAACCCAACTATGTCGACGGTCAACCTTCAACAGGGCCCGCAGATCCAGCGGTGAACAAGTTAACGTCTACTTCGAAGTAGTAATAGGATATTACTTGGAGAAAAACGTTCAAACCCTGTTCGGACTGTTATTCAAAAATGTGTATGAAATCAAAGGCATGATGAGCACTACCGGCTCAAGTGATTCACATGTTTTAAAGAAGAAGGAGTTCCTAGAAGTAGGTTCTCCTTCTGAAAGTGAGTGCGTGCTTTTCAACTAAACCAATCAACCTCATCGTCCACGGAAAAAGTGCAAAAGAGTGAAATTCCCATGTAAATATTTTACCACAGTGCATTATCTGAAAAAGAAAAATTATTTACACCATTTTCTACCACTGAAAGCTGTGCTAGTAAGTAATGCTTATGATTTTTTGGCAATGCCGAAAATCGACATTGCCAAAAACCCTAAGCAACACTTACCGAGTTCTTTGCCGTTTGCTTCTCGTCGCCGTCCTCGCTGCAACTTGATCCCTCCGCTTCTCTCCTATGCAATGGCGCCGGTACACAAACATGTTGATAGAAGTCTGCAGCTAATCTAATGAGTAACACACAACCCAATACACAGACACAAAACACTAGCACGGCAAACTTCTGCCAAATCTGTCCGCCAGGCAGGCTTCGCGCTAAGTTTGGAAACCGTTTGTTCGCACATAAAGGAAAAACAAAAAACAAAAACAAAAAAGGAATTTGATCGATCACCTCCGCCTTCGGTAGGCCTTCAACGCTCTTCTCATTGCTGTTGAAATGTTGAAACGTACATGCTGCTCTAGCAGTAGGCGATTTGTAGCAAGAACAGCTGAATGTGTCGATGGGTTGTCGAAAGAACGGAACTAAACGCAAGGAAAAGAACACTGCTAGACTGGAAAACAACGGTGAAACTAACAGGCACCGCTACCATGGCTACGCTGCGATGTTACCAAAGTATCACACACAAGCAGCTACAGATAGACTTATCGATGATCTGGCTCCTTACCTGACCGCTTCTAAAAGTAAACGAGGTTGAGTTCACACTGGCCTTCCGCCATGTTGAACACTTACCGACCGTGCGTGCACAACTTTTTACAACGGATACGCATCTCGCCATCTACTACTAGGTAGTACTTTTAAAAAATCTTTACTACAGTACAGTACTACTACTGGCCCCGGTCCGTCCGCCACGACTTGCTAATACGTATGTATTACTGCACAAGGACCAGTGCAATACCGGCCGATATCTGCACGAACGGCGAAGCCGTAAGTGCAGATATCGACGCCGGTATTGCGCGCGTCCGAGTGCAGTAATACATTTATCGCACCCCTGCCACCACACAGTCTCAGTCTGTCACCACACACTTGTGTGTGTGACTTGACACGGTCTGGTGCAACCCTAGTACAGTCAGTATCGCCTATAGCGTTGGTGTTTGATTTTGAGCATTTTATCACTATAAGCGATATATTACTATGACCGATACTGCATGCAATGTATGCAAGTGGGGTGTCAAATGACTCAGCGCGCCATGCCCATACGCATTACATACATGTCCAATGTCATGTAGCTGGCTGTAGCTCCGGACACACAAAATCAGCATTTCCTCATGATGGAGGCATATTTTGGCAACTTGTACAAGCAAAACTCACCAAACAACACTCACTGGACAAGTTCTTCACGAAGAAGTAACACCCTGTTCTTCTCTGACATCGCTTGATTTCACATCAATCACTATAACCGACGCAAAAATAGTGTAATAAAGGTCTTTTGAAATATGAATTTGATCACTATAGGCGATATATTACTATAGACGATTATTACTATACGCGATAACTGTGTATACTTAGTTATGGTAAATGAAAATGAATTTGAGAAATTGATCACTATATCCGGTATATTACTATAGCCGCCAACCTTATAGGCGATACGGACTGTAGAATGCTTCATGCAACCCTGCTATCATTTCACAGTCATACAACACAGCACAACCAGTCGCGTTCATTTTTAGAGGAACACTTCTTTCGAGCAGCTGCTGTATACACGGGAGATCATGGAAGTAGCGGGACAGCTTGCTCATGTCGTCGTCGTTGATGGGGTGTTTGTGCTCCACCGCTTTGACTTCTCCCCGCTTTCTTTGGCTTCAGGAGGAAAGCCTTCAATGCAATGTTTGCGTCCTTGAACGCTGGGTCACTGTGGACGTTCATGAGCCGCTTCAACTCGACTAGCTTGCGATGTATTGCGGAACGGAAACCGAGCAAGCTTGATGCAGAGTAGAACTTCACTCCAGCTTTCTTCGGACGGAATTCGACGTATGCATGTCGCAGAATGTAAGCTAGGTCGCTTGCCGTAACCGTACTCAGGTCACAGCGACGTCCTGTGTCTTTACAATACTCGTCAAATAAGCGGAGCCATTTGTCAGTTGCCTGCTCTGTGTTTTTGTTTTTCTGCTCAGGCTGTCGATGGCGGCGTCGGACAGTTTCTCAAATCGGCTGTCGACAGTCTTCTCCAATACTTGGGCGTCTGCTGTCTCGACTCTCACGGAGCTTGTGAAGTTGACTTTGCGGACGCAAGCCGGGTCCACATTCGCTTCCGCGACAGCGTCCTCGACCAATTATTAATATTATTATTTGGTGTGCTGCAGCAAGTCAGCAGCGACAGCTTGGCGGAGCGACTCGCAATATTCCCCAGTACACCGCCAGCCAATGACCAGATGACTATGTGGATGCACTGCAGTGCGATATTGCACCCCGGCGAGTGAGCGTGCAAATAACCTATATCTGCACGCTCACTTCGAAGCGAGCGTGCAAATAACCTATATCTGCACGCTCGCTTCGAAGTGAGCGTGCAAATAACCTATATTTGCACGCTCACTTCGAAGTGAGCGTGCAAATATAGGTTATTTGCACGCTCACTCGCCGGGGTGCAATATCGCACTGCAGTGCATCCACATTGGCTGGCGGTGTACTGGGGAATATTGCACGCTCAGTAAGGCCGCTGATTGGCTCAAACCATGGAGACGCTCACGTGGGGTGCGATAATACTAAGTACTAGTACTAGCGCGCTCTCTACATGACTTGTAGTTGTACTAATATGAGTATGACAAAGTGTCTGGGGTCTTCGCTGCAAACAGTCTGTCTGATGGGTGTTTTTGGAAACACCAAACTCGGAGTTACGAGGAAGATTTTTGGTCTCGGTTGTTCTGCCCCGTGTGGCTTGTACTACAGTATGATGTAGTAGTAGTAGTAGTCGGCGCTCTACTCACTTGTGACCAGGTGACCAGTGGTGACTATGGACCGGAAAACAGCATACCGGTGGCCACTGAGTCTGAGAGGAATGAGGACCCGGTCCGCGAGCACTTGACAGTTATATTGATTCCGGACTGTGTAGTTGAACTACGGTTCTTGTGAGGTGACGACCTTGGAGAACACGGAGCTGGCACTGGGTGCCGTGGCAACCGACCTACGTGGCCTAAGCAACTAACTACTTACTAACGATGTTACCTGGTTACTTGCCGCTAGCTAGCTAGGTCTGATGATGACTGCCTTGTAGCGATTGTTTGTTTGTTTATTTGAAGTTTTAGTTTACATCGCAAACCAGACGGGCATTGATGCCCAATATTATGATGGCGATAGATCATGTATGTGTATCCAAGGCAAGGGAGTGTCTTCCCTTAGATTAGAATAATGCAATAGTCAAACAGCAATTCTTTTTTTAATAATAAAAATTGTGGTTGCGACTTCGGCGATGATTGTTAGGAAAGGATTTGCTGCATGCCCACACTGGAACTCCCACTATTCCGCTGACTTGACTAGACACTCGACTGACTAACGACTGTTCTCACCGTCCAAGAGCGAGAAAGCTTTTTAAAAAAGACGACGAAATCCGAGGGAATGTCAAAGGCACTGAGAAAGAAGAGTTTCATGTTTGAGGCATCCCGGCAAAGGAGTTCGTTCAAGGAAAATCCTACGGAGATCGAAAAAACCGGTCCACACTGGTACATGGTGAGACTCAGAACTGACTGAAGTGAAGAAGTCAGGAAAAGAAACGACGATAAAGAACACACCCGATGCCACATTTGCAACCGAAAATGTTGCGTGAGGAATCATTAATTTTCTTGCCTAATACCACGTGTAGTAGTAATACTAGTATTACTAATAGCAAGAGCACAATCATAACCAGTTATGTACTCTTGCTAATAAGTAAAGTATTAGTAATAGTATCTCGCTGCAGCGCGCTCGGCCGGCGAGAAATGCAACGACTCACGCCGCTATCTGGTGTTGTTTATCATGGTTTATCGCGCTGGAAACGGATCGTCTCCGTAAGTAACATACACGTAATGTAGTTTGTATCCCTGGTGATGTTTGGACCTGAAGAGCACTGCACTACCGCCAGTACCGGGTATAATAAGTGATGCTCTCCAGCCTTCAGGCACAGTCTTCCCCAGTCTACTCAAGCTCAACTGATGAGGGGTGAATTCCCCGTAACACTTTGTATTTGAGCATGCAGGGAGTGGTGCAGCTTTCTTGCAGGTTTGTCGAGTCGAAGGTTCAGTGGACTTCCCGTGTGCTCTGGATGGCAGTCGTGAGCCAGTCAAGTGTCAACTACGGTCAAGTAGGCGGAATAGCGCGAGCTCCAATGTGGGAATCGAGCAAACCCTTTCCCTTATGATCAGCAAAAGAATTGAAGGACACGAAACATGCTACAAGTGAGTGTAAAAGGTTGCTATAGCCGATTATTCTGATAAGTTATAAGGCCACGCGTTTTTATTCCTATGTTTCTCGTCACTCGAAAATCTAAAATCGTATGCAGGAGGTGGAAAACAACAAAAAATGACCGAAAAATAGAAAAAACAGTTTACTAGACCTTTGCCGCTTTGGTCATACTAAAATCGACCAATACACCGTGTATAAAAATAGCATCAAAGCAAGTTAGCAACTAATACTTACTACAGTAGAACATGGCAGGAGCTTATGTGCACGTGCAGCTAGATTGCGTAACAAAAACGGCATGCAGGGACCTCGCATCATGTGTCGCGCGATTCGAGAATCGAGGCGGCAGTTCGCGGAATGCAGGTCATCTACGATGAACAGTCTACAGAAGGCATTCTGCTAGTGGATGTGCACAATGCTTTTTTTAAACAGCCTTGACAGAGCTGCTGCACTTCATAATGTTCGACTATTACTAGTATTAGGTCCGTCGTTAGCGATTATTATGCGGAATTCATCCGGTCAGTCAGCGCGGCTGTTTGTGGCGGTCGGTGGTGAGTTGGCCTCACGAGAGGGCACTGCACAGGGCGATCCCCTTTCAATGGTGTTTTATGCCCTTGCCACACTGCCTTTGGGCCAGTGCCTTCGGGCAGATTGCCCCTCCATTTGCCAGACGTGGTATGCGAGTGACTCCAGTGGTGGAGGAAAGCTGCAATGTCTGCGCTTGTGGTGGGACAATCTACAAGAAAACGGTCAAAAGTATGGCTATTACACCAATTCGAAGAAGACTCTGTTTCTGGTAAAGCCTGGCATGGTTGATGAAGCATCTCGCATTTTCCATAAGGCCACGCCAAGTTGTTTCGGGTCACCGCGCGCGTACCTTTTCGAATTGGTTGACAAGAAAGAAAGAAAAAAGGACCCAGACGAGTCAATCGATGGCTGTTTTGGCGAACATTCTCTAGCCAGTATGGCAGATCAGCTTCTCGATAATCTTGCATTCCAGGTGATGGTACGTAGAAAGTGCGAGCAATGAAATTCTTTCCAAGCCGTCCGGGAGGGCCTACTCACCGAGCGAGCGGAAATTCCAGGTTTCAAGAACTCCGAGATTTTCCAGGCTCGTTGTGATGGACAGGAATTCCAGTTGCCTGGTCGGTCCTCCCGTCAAAGTGCAGGAGCCATCCAAGAAATCTGTTGAGGTATCGCAGTACAGTCTGCCAGCTGTACTGTGACGACTTTTAATGCTATATGTATTCTGTGTGCAACATGGCTCAATACACATAGAATGGAGTTTTGTTTTTTCTTCTGTTTTGTTTTTTCGCCATCCCACTTGCCTTTTCCAGGAAATTTCCGACGCGAAACACAGAATTAACTTTGCGTGGCCTAATAGCGGCATACAACTAGTCACTGGTGCTGTGAAATACTTGGGTTCGCAAATAGGTGAGACTGATGCAACGGCAAGCAATGCGCGGGAAACAGTTGAAAAATGAGTGTTGAGTTGGGACGCCTCACGGTCTTTGCGCACACCGAACCGCATGCTGCCTATTCAGCTATCACTCACGGCCTTCATGGCCGCTGGACCTACATGCATATGTACATGCTGCGCACGGTAGCATTCCCCGCTGATTGTTCGACTTCTCTTGACCATATCGTAGCAAATGAATTATTGCCGCCACTCACAGGGAGAGAAACCTTTCCTGATGGGGAGCTAGCATAACTGCGCCTGCCCACACGCTTTGGCGGGCTTGCTATCCCGCATTTCCAGCACCCGGCGGTTTTTGAATTAACCTCGTCTCGGCCCGGTTCGTAACTGATTTCCAGGTGGCTGAGATTTTAATAGAAGTTCACCCTAGAAAGACAACTTCACAACTATTAATTTTACTATTACTTGTAGCGAAAAATGCACTGATTCCAATGGTGAAAGTTCCAGGTTGATCGGAGCAGCCGTTCTCGAGTTTAATATACCAGTTTGAAGTTGGCACTAAATTTGGTGACATCATGATGACGTCATTAACTTGCCCAGACTAGGCCGGATGTATGACGTCAGAGAGATAGACTTTGTAGGGGAGTAGATGGGGAAAAACCAATTTCTTTGTTGTTTCTCGGCAACAATGAATTTCGTACTAGATTTTTTCCAGTCGGATACCGGTAGGGTGCCAAATGTCCCATGCCGAAGTTTGAAAAAGATCCGACTTCTTTGGGACAATGGAGAGCCAAAATTCTGAAATTTCCCCATCTACTCCCATAAATCCGGCCTAGTCTGGGCAAGTTAATGACATCATCATGATGTCACCAAATCTAGTGCCAACTTGAAACTGGTATAACTCGGGAACGGCTGCTCCGATCAACCTGGGACCTTCACCATTGGAATCAGTGCATTTTTCGCTACAGGTTGTGAAGTTTTCATTTCAGGGTGAACTTCCCCTTTAACCAACACTTTAACCAACACTTTAACCAACATTATGCATCGTGGTTGCCTAGATCTCCAAATGCCATAATCGAGTCGGCGTTGCGAGCAAAGTCCGCTGTTGATCGGGACCGACGCCTAGAGGAAGAGAATATGTGCAATGAGATTCGTCACTCAGCTTCATCTGCAGTTGTTCGGAGGCTGGACCAGCTCTCAAAGAAGGCCGAGTGTTCAGGCCCGGCGGAAGCAATTGTTGATTGGTCCGGCCAAGTTTTTTCGTCAGCACAGCACTTGTGCACGTGTGACACAACACAACGTCTCTTTGCTCATCGTAGACGTAGGTCAACCAAGACCATGTCTTGAAATACATGTATGACGCCTGACAAGAGCGCTTCACCACTGCCTTTTTCCCAAATTCCCGCCGAGGAAACGCGAAGGAAGTGGTTGGGTAGACTGGCACTTCTGGCACAGATACTTATCTGGAAGAAGCCATTGCTGCTAAGCATGCACTGCAGCTAAGCTGACCAAACAGCGAGAGTGAAAAAATACTTCGTTCAGTAAGTACTTGAGGGTTTTTCGTCCTGTGCTTCACATTCTTTTACTGAACGAAGTAGTTTTTCAAATTATTTGTCTCGCTGTTTGGTCAGCTTAGCTGCAGTGCATGCTTGCAGCTATGGCTTCTTCCATGATCCAGCGAAGTATCCATCATGGCACGTGCTTTCAGGTCGCGCGACTTGCGCCACAGGCCCACACTCACACAGTACAGGCCACAGCTAGCCCTCAAGCGCGCACGCGTGCACGGCAAGATTCAGAGCGAGATCGCAAGTACGCGTACATGTACAATCGATGATCACAAATTTGAAAAACTACTTCGTTCAGTAAAAGAATGTTAAGAACTCGACGAAAAACCCTCAAGTACTTACGTACTGCATCGTAAAAAAATCGTTGGTGGCCGAAAAGGTAGTCCGGCCATGGCCGGACCGACCGGAGCGGCTCCGCCGGCCCAGTTAACGTGGTTGAATACGTTGCCACTTAATGAACATGGCTGCCATCTGTCAAAGGGTGACTTTCGAGATGCGCTAGCTTTAAGTTATGAGACGTCTTTGAAGGATGTGCCAGCCACATGTGTTTGTGGAGAGACCTTGGTAACTCATGCCATGTGCTGTCCAACAGGAGGAGGCTTTCCAGGTGCAAGAGTGTACTGGTTGAGCCTCCGCTTGCTTCGGTCACTGGTGAAGTGTTCAGAGCAGCTAGCACGAATGTTGCGGATGACGCAAGACCTGGCATGAAAGGTGAGAGGTTTCTGGACCAGGGCCTAGGACGCATTTGTGGATGTTCGAGTTTTTCATCCGGACGCGTCATATACAAAGAAGTCAGTTCATGTCCCTCTCCTCGAATGGAGAAAAAATTTGGAATACGCTGAACGTATCATACGTGTCGATCGTGGGACCTCCACTCCCCTCATCTTCTCCACGACCAGATGTACGTCGCCAGAAATCAACCGATTTCTGAAGCGTTTGTGCGGTACGCTGGCTAGCGACGACAACAAGAAGACTTAGTATGGAGAAATGATGTGCTATATCCGGACTTGGTTAGCATTCGCTCTGCTAAGAGCTGCAATAATGTGCATCCGCGGCACCTGCTCGGCATACCACCGTCCAGTCAATGCACTCAAAGAGATGGAGGTTGTGGAGGGGTATATGTGAGGTGTTATGTGTCTTAGTTCTTATATTTCCCGTAGCTATGCAAAAGACGTTACTTCAATCAAAGACAGCTGGCCACAATATTCAAATAGGGCCTTCAAATGCAAGATCATAACGTGAAGCAACTTGGAAGAATGAGTATGTATGCGAAGTGTATCGGGGAAATGCATGCAGGGGGATAGTGTGGGTTCAAATCCTAGATTATGTCTTAAAAAATCAATTGGAGAAATGAAAATTTTATAACATCCCTATGCTTTTTTGCCTAGGTCATCAAGTTGGTAGACGGTATCGTATTACCCTCGAATGCAAAGAGAAAGTTGACTCTCGCTAGGCAAAAAAGCATAGTGTAGGGCCCTGAGCTTCCAAGCTCTCTCGTGTTAATTGTATTTTAATCTGTATCAGGTGCTGCTGTAGTTCTGAAGTGGTGCTCGTACATCACATAACTTTAATACATAGTGTTCATCACACGTTGTTTTTTCTTCTTTTGCCCCGGTTTGCGTTGCATATTTTTCCTTTTCTGGTTTTCTGGGTTTGGCATGTGTATTGCATTTTCATCCAGTGGGTTTCTTTTGCCCGAGCAGCGCTTCTCAGTACATTCAACCCGAAGTAAAGTATTGGACCTCGCATGCGAAACCAACACTATGATCTGGAACCTCCTTGGTATCACGAAAGGAGTTTTACAATTCGCTAAAGGCTGATTCATACTTCATTTTGCGTACGGGAAACGCGTCGCGTCGCGAAAAAGTTGATCTGAGCTCAGCTATCAGTTTCGCGTACGGGAAAGTCATCGCGCCGCGACGGTCGGGCGATGGCTTTTCCGTACACGACATGAAGAATGAATCGGGGCAACTTCCACAGGATCACTGAAAGTGAAAAGACTTATGACATCATGACTCATGTCATGAGTGAGGGCATATTATGACATTAGGGAACTCAACTCAAACTTTCCAAAATACGGTCTCTTCGCTGCACACGTCACTTCAAAATAAATAAATAATTGAATGTTTTCACCCTGAGCAGGGGCCATGCCGGAAAATTTGGTGCATTCAATTATTTTGAAGTGACGTGTCCAGCGAAGAGACCGTATTTGGAAAGTTCGAGTTGAGTACCCTAATAGAAACTAAGTTGCTACAACACATTTTCTGCCGCAACCTCAGCCCTGGCCACTGTACTTACCAAGATGTTTTAAAAGTTGCCGTGCACATGTACAATGTACCTTGGCACAGCTACCTGTAGTTACTATGACAACACTGATAATTACGAACAGGTTTCACCAAGAGTACGATGTACTCTTGGCTTCACATGCACTGGCCGATAAACTTGTAAGGCCAATCGGTATTACTTTTTCGATGTTCAATGGTCTCTGCTTGAATGATAGTTACTCCATAGTTCAGTGGTTAGAGCATCGCTGGCCTCAAGCGAAGGTCCGGGCCTGGTGGTGACAGTCAATATTTTCTTCAGACTTTCCCCTTTTCAGGCAGGCATAGTGGAATGGTCTAAGACCATGATTGAGAAGCAGATGGTCCCAGGTTCAAGTCCTGCTTGGAAGGGGAAGGATTTTTCCAGCCGTGCTGCGATCCACAGTTAATTGGGAACTCGTGGCCTGGCACGCGGAAAACATGGATGCAGTGAATGGGATTTTCGGTCTTTGTGGTGGGTCTGATCTACTCACCTCCCACCGTTTAGGAGCTGCATCTGCGCCTTGATCCAAGAGGGTGGTGGCGTTCCTGCGGATGCGGAAACTGGGCCTTTGGCCAAGTCTCACGCAAACCGTGAATTTTTTTTCCCTTTCCAAATTCCTCATGCATGGGGTGGTGGCGTCCCACGGAAGCGGAAAGGTGGTTCTTGACCAGAGAGTTGTACGACTCCTTGTTCTTGACCAGCCCGGTACGCGAACCCGTCGAATTTTTTTTCAAATTCCTCAACTTTATTTGGTAGTATAATTGGTACTATTTTCAAATCTCAGGCTTCTTGCTGGTCAGTCCCAGGTGTATGTGTAAGGAAGGATATTAGATTTCAATTTTCAAACTTAATGTGGGCATTTTTTGGAATAGTGTGAAAAGAATTGACCGTATGATGGTAACAATGCTGTGTAACTACAGAACTCTATAGGATAGCGCTATGATGGGCTCGGAACATATTCTTGAATCCTTACCGAGTGAATAGAGTGGTTCAAATTAGTTCACATCTTTTTTATGTGACGAAATTTGTGTGGAAAGTGATCATGGCATATGGACTGTGGACCAACATGGCCGACATCATGTGGGGAGTCTGTCCCCGGGGAAAATCGCGGAAAAAAATCGCAAAAAAATGCGGGGGGGAAAACGCGGCATAATAATTATGGCATAATTTGCGGTGAAATTGCGGTAAATATGCGGTGAATAATATTGATATGCGGCAATTTTCAGTGAGTATGTAGTGAAATCAATCAGTTACAAGTCTCTGGTGTAAGCACTCGTCATATTTGAGTACAAAGCCGCCACGATGAGACGTTGCTGACCGAACAGTGCACTGTGTGTACGTGTAGTGCAACAAAAAAGTTCAAAAAACGCGGGAAAATCGCGGAAAACGCGGTCTTTTAAAAATCGCAAAAAACGCGGCCGTGGAATCGCGATTTTCCCCGGGGACAGCATAGTGGACCAACACGGCCAAGTGATTATGTGACCCTAAATAGTGGACCAACATGGCCAAGTGATCATGTGACCCATAGTGGACCAACAATGTTACATGGCCAAGTAAGTTAGGTATCATGTGACCCATAGTGAACCAACATGGCCAAGTTATCATGTGACCCTAAATAGTGGAGTAAGTGGACCAACATGGCCAAGTGATCATGTGACCCATAGTGGACCAACATGGCCAGGTAAGTTATCATGCGACTCATTGACATTGTGCATTTGTGGACCAACATGGCCAAGTTATCATGTGACCCATAGTTGTAAGGGTGGAATGGAGTTAGAACCAACATGGCAGTGCCGGATGGTCACGTGATAGATAGATGTACGTGTAATACCGATATAATAGAATGATATCTGAAATCTCGAATGTGTCCAAAACAGAGAGGAGAGTCTCACTGTCAAATCAAGGAATTTTTGTGTGACTTAACAAATGCAAACCACCCGTTGCACAGAGTCGGAAAACGTTCACTTTCCGCGTGGGCCGCATGCATTTGTCTTAGTTGTAACGCCTAGTTCTGAGTAAATAATATATTCGGAGTCACTGGATGATGGCTAGTTCTATCATTCTAGTACTACGTTTAGAAGTTGTAGTAAGCTTTCCATTCTGCTCCCATGGCGAGGAGAATAGCATAGTGATCAACAAGGCTGCTTGACTGAAGCTGATGCCATTGAGTCTGATCAAAGTACATCCTTCCACATTAGCACCTTTAATTCCCAATACGCGCAGCCTCATTTGAAGCGCTTCTTCTGTCTCAGCGCTGCGCGGGACACAAACTCGGCCGAGTTGCTCGTACTCTGCACCATGGCATAGTTGGGCACAGCCTTGGAGGCTGCCATTCCGAGCTCACCAGCAGCAGGTGCCAGCAAGTCCATGGTCGCTTTGCTGGCCCCCCGCGACGAGAGGTATTCACTGGCACTGCCGGCGTGCTTCTGCGAGCGCGTCTCACTGCGCTGCAGGTAGAAGTGGCTGATCATGTGGTACACCATACCTTTGCCGTGCTCAAATGACACGATGACAGCATCCTCGCCGTACCGCTTGCCGAGCTCCTTCGACGCAACCAGCTTCTTCACGCCTTCCTTGTCCAGTATCTCAATGGGATAACTGCTTCTCTCCAGCCACCACATGACAGCGCTGCCCTCTTCTGTGCTCTCATCAAACAACCCAGAGAGTACGTCGTCGCTGCGATCTAGAATCTCAATGGGCACAACTTCATCGTCCGTGCTCTTGCCGTTGTAGCGAACACGGCCCGGGAAACCAACCTCTAAAACATTTTTCAGCGCCCAGTCGGTTGTTATGAGTTGCCCGCCATCATTGACGAACGCTGCAAGAATTCGGGCATTAGCCGGTGTGAAGGGAGAGGCACAATTCACGTAGACAGTTTGCTCCGGCCGTAGCTGGATCGACTTGAGGTCAGCTTGAGCGATGTGCAGAAAGGGGATCCTGATGGCGTGCAACACGCGGTCGATATGGTCGTACGTACCCTGCACTACAACAATGTCAGCGGACTTGACAGAATCCAGCAGGGCCAGGTTCTCAGGATCCTCCTGGCCTAGACGATCTCTCACTAACGCAGAAGAGAGTTCATACGCTGCTGTCATACCATCGTCACTCTCCGCCTGACCAGTAATTTGCGGAGCAGGTAAGTCGCTAAATCCCACTGAGTTGAGCTCTGCACCAGGGGAGCGTGAATTCTTGGCTGATGCTGGCAGCTGCCAAGGTGTCTGACTCTTCCAACGCTGCTTATTGAGTTTCGGCTGAAGGTAACCCGCCACTTTTGGTTTGTATGAGCCCTTCATCGATGGGTGAGAACTGAGAACTGCATATGGGTCAGGCAGATTCTGTGCTGTCTGCTGCAGACCAACGGGAGGTGCAGTGGATTGTTGCAGCTGCGGAGGTAAAGTGCTGGGCGCTTGCTGCTGTGGTGGAAAACCTCCGCGGGAATCCTGCTGTACTTCCATTGCGTTGTTCGGCTGTTGTTGACTGGGTGCTGCTGAAAGCTCCAGTTCAAGCCCGTCCGCCATTTGCTGTGGCTGATTCCGTTCCTGTTGTGGCGGTTGTTGTTGCTGTTGAAGGTGGGGAGCTTGCTGAAGTGATTCGGGAAATGTTTGTTGTTGCTGTTGAAGGAGAGGAGCTTGCTGAAGCGATTCGGGAAATGGCTGTTGTTGCTGTTGAAGGAGGGGAGCTTGCTGAAGTGATTCGGGAAATGGTTGTTGTTGCTGTTGAAGGAGGGGAGCTTGCCGTGATTCGGGAAATAGTTGTTGTTGCTGCTGCTGCTGCTGACTGAGCAACGACCCTTGTTGCTGCGAGTGAAACAGGGGCCATTCTTGAAGCAAATAAGAAGACTGCTGCTGCTGCTGCTGCTGGCGCTGGTGTTGTTGGGACGGGAACGATGCTTCTCCTGCATCCAGTTCCTGCATTAGATTCTGTTCCTGTGCAAAACTCAGCTGTTGTTGCTGCTGCTGCTGCTGCTGCTGCTGCTGCTGCATTGTCTGGGGAAGCCCACTGCCCGACGAGCCCTGGTCAACAGTGCCTCCACCCACTCCATTCCCAAATGCCTGAAGAGACGCCGGATTGTTGCTGGAAGAGTTGCGCTGAGCCATATATTTTTGATATTCCAAGAAAGTATCAAGACAGCCACCTCGCTGACACTGATCACAAACAAACCTAACGTCTCGTTACTCAGCAGGAACAGGGAACGGAGTCGCCGACCTTCGATCGACCCAGCTAGCACCGCAAAGAGGTCGCTAGGGTATGGGTACAAGAACAATATTCGAAATCAATGATCGGCTCTCTCTTTGTAAAAATCCAAAACTAAGCAACGACGTACATTGTTGTAAACCACCAGTTCTCAATTGGGAAAGGCCTTCGCGCTTATGGCATTGTATTCGTTGAAATGTTGTATTTCGACTCCGCCGTACCGCTGATGTTGCTGCATGGCATACGCTATATGCGTTGTGTGCGTTTTGCTGTATACGCTGTTATGTCCAGTTTTATATGCTTATGTTTTTGCATGTACGCTGTTTCTGCATGCTATAAATAGCTGGTGTTATTAGTGTTCATTGTTAATTATCAGATGAAGTGGAATATACTGTGTAAAGGAAAAGAGTTGTCCTCGTGCCGTGTGGTCGTACGATCCTGACAATTTAGAGAATCTTAGAGGGTTCATAACATTTGGCGACCACGCCAGGATAGGAGCGAGCATGGCAGAGCAACTACACAATTTGGAAGCCAGCTTTATCGCCAATGGAGTTCGATTAGGATTAGAAGGCGAGTTGTTGATGGAACATGTGGAGCAGAGGCTCCAACAGTACGAGGAGCGTGAGGAGCGCAGTGCCAGACGGCGAGAGGAGGCGCTCCGCACCGAGTTTGACAAAACACTAAAGGAGATTAACGAGCGCATCGCCAATGCGTATGAGGGTGATGGTAAAGCCGCGATGGGAGGTACAGAGGAAGCTCCCAGTAACAGCGGGGGGCGTCAACCGTTGATGAAAATCCCCTCATATGATGGAACGCAGCCATTGGAGCGTTATCTTGACCTGTTCGAGGACATCTGCTCCAAGAACGAGTTCGAAGAAAGCGAATGGCTGCTGCGACTGCGCATCGCGCTAGCGGGTAGCAAAGCGGAGAGGATATGTATTGGATGCAATAATTACGAGGAAGCGAAGCGAGAGTTGCTCGCCTCGCTCGGAAAGACTCCGGATAAAGCGTGGAAGACATTGCTGACAGGCAAGCAGCGGTCAGATGAGTCGTTTCACCAATACGTTGTCCGTGTTTGCCGAGAAGTAGAAGTGTGGGCCACACTCGCTATGACAGAAGATGGCGAGGTGGACACCAAGTATAGCGCCGATATAGGTAAAATGTCCCCGGTGCTGCAAGCAATGGCAAAGCAGGTAATCTTGGAGCAATGCGGACCTGAGATGAAGACGTACCTGGTCGAACGGCAGTGCTACGGGATGTCACTACGCCAGGTACAGGAGCACGGCGCGTCTTACCAGGTCGCGCACGGACGACAGGGTGATACTGCCAGGAAGCCAGCAGAACGATCCGTGCCAAGGCCCACGGCGTCGGCACAGTGCATGGCGATATCGGTCGCAGATGCAGAGAAGCAGCTAAAGTCGCTGCCACTGGAAGGGAGAAAGGGTTTTCTGCAGCGAGAGAGACTCTGCTGGAACTGCCTTAAGTATGGCCATATGGCCAGAGAATGTCGGTCAGGCTCGAGATGCACGAAATGCCAGAGGAAACACCACCTGCTAATACATGAGGTGTTGGATAGAGCAGGTTACAGCTGGGAGAAACCGACTGAGATAGTTACGGAGAAGAATGTTGGGTCGTGCTGTCTACACTCGCCAAGTGTGCGGCTGATGACCGGAGTGGCACGAGTTGAGGGAAGAACTCGAAACGCGAAGGTTCGCGTGTTCCTGGACTCGGGTGCTGAGGCGTCATTCGTGACTGCAGCGTTGGTGTCAGCAATCGATGCAGAACACGTCGGGGTTGAAAATGTAGAAGTGAAGCCGTTCGGCGCGGAACCAACCCAACAGCGCATGGATAAGTACGCCATCACGATCCAGGGTAGCTCCGCTAGCATTCGGGTACGCGCGTTCGTGAAACCAACGCTTGAGATGGACCTGAAGTGCGCAAGTCCGCAGACCATTGCCCAGTGGCACAGTTGGGGAGTAGAGCTGAGTGACAAGCCTCAACAAGGGACATCAGACGAAATACATATGCTGATTGGTGCAGACTATATCAACGCGATACTGCACAGCAAGAAGGAAGTTAATGGTGAGACGGTGTGGAACACAGAGATAGGTAATGTATTATCTGGTCCAGCGTCTGCACCAAGTCGAAACAGTCAGCCGGTGACCGTGTCATGTGTCACAGCCCACATTGAACAACTATGGCAGTTGGATGAACCTCCAGAACAACATCAGCACCTGCCATCTTTCCCGCTATGTCGCCAGGGCAGCGGGTACCAAGTGGGTCTCTTGTGGCGAAATGAGCGTCGCCCAACGGATAACTTTGCTCAAGCTAGAGTCATCGCAACGCGGCTTCTTGAAAAGCTGAAGAGGAATGGGAAGCGTGCGCTCTATGATGATGTGCTGATCAGGGAGTACCGCGAGCTTGGAGCAATTGAGTTGGAGCCATGTGAGAGCGATGCCGGGTACTATGTACCGCATCATGGTGTATTCCGCGAGCACGCTGCAACCACGAAGTTAAGAGTGGTGTTCAATGCCTCGGCGACGGCTCCAGATGGCAAGTCGTTGAACGACATGGTTGACCCTGGACCGTCGCTATTGCCGAGTCTTGCAGGTATGCTATTACGGTTCCGTGAATATAAGAGCGCGCTGCAAGCGGACATCCGCAAGGCTTTCTTCATGGTCGCGGTTAATCCCGAAGACCGTCCGTACCTGCGTTTCTTGTGGCCCGGTCGAAGCGACAGCGATGAACTGTTAACCTGGAGGCTAACGAAACTGCCATTTGGCGTAAACTGCTCGCCGTACATGCTTACTGCGGTGATTCAGCATCACTTGAAGGAGCTACGGGCGTTGTCTGCACCCAAAGAGCGAGATCGTATTGATCTCTTGCTCACGAGTTTCTACGTTGACGATTTGGTCTCTAGTGTGTCAAATGCCTCGGAAGCCAAGGAGATGCAAGAGTTCAGCGTGCGTGTGCTTACGGATGCTGGCATGGAGTTACGCAAGTGGCGAGGCAACGAAATCCCGTGCGATCCAGAGGCCGGAGATAAAGTCCTCGGTCTGAAATGGAAAACCAGTGATGACTTGCTCAGCATAGCAGCGCTAGGCGAGTCCGATAGGCCGTCTGTTTGGACCCGGCGAGCCCTCCTCAAGTGTGTTGCATCAGTGTTTGATCCGCTAGGTCTAGCAGCACCGGCAGTTGTGCCGGGAAAGATACTGCTACAGCAAGCCTGGAAAGTCGGAGGCGACTGGGATGATATGTTGCCTGATGGCATCGCAGCCGCATGTGCGCAATGGTGGGGAGAGTTGGCCGAAGTGGTGAGCATTGACATACCACGTTGGATTTGCTGCAATCTTGACACGCCGATTGCGCTTCATGCCTTCGCCGATGCCAGTGAGAAAGCGTTTGGATGTTGTTTGTATGCAGTCGTCAATGGACAGTCGCACTTGGTATTTGCCAAGGCCAAAGTGTCACCTGTGTCTCCGCCCACGTTAGCCCGCCTTGAGTTACAAGCAGTATGTTTAGCGGCTCGCTACGCTGAGTTTGTGGTGAAGGAGCTGCGTGTTACCGTCACGCAAGTCTATGGCTGGACTGACAGTCTCACTACCGTTCATTGGATCAGTAATCCATCGTACAAATGGAAAACATTTGTGGCTAACCGCGTCAGTCAAGTCCAAGAGATATCGAAGAAGGTCGGCATTGTGTGGAACCATTGCCCGGGCCTTCACAACCCAGCAGATTTACCGTCGCGTGGGAGTAGTGCACAGCAGATCCGTAGTCCGTTCTGGAGGGGCGGACCAACCTGGATCACGGAGCCCAATGACTGGCCCACCGCATCCTCGACCGCAGCTACAGATGAGTCCAGTGTAGAAGTACGAGTGTCAGCCACCACCTGTAGTCGAGAATCTGATAAGGAATGGTGGCTCCGATTCAGTAAATGGTCGAGGGCACAGGGCATGGTGACTCGGATGTTGCAGTGGAAGCACACTGAGCCTCGTGCTGAACTCTATTTTGCAGCAGACAACGTATTGTACCGCATCGTTCAAGCCGCATGTTTCGCTGAGGATCTTGAGCTGATTACGCAAGGTCAACCAGTGAAGCCCGGGTCGAAGGTGTATCAGCTTGCACCGTTTCTGGATGAGCATGGAGTGCTCAGAGCCGGGGGACGACTTCAGCACAGCGAATTGGCGTATGGAGCCAAGCACCCAGTCCTGTTAGGCAAACATCATCTGACCGATTTGCTGTTGGAGAAAATGCATGTTGAAAGGATGCACCAAGGTGTAGAAGGAGTCTTGTCGTTTATCCGTCAGAAATTCTGGATTATCGGTGGTCGACGAGCGCTACGCAACATTACTCAGCGATGTGTTACATGCCGCCGCTACAAGGCTAAGGCTGCCTCAGAAGTCTGCCCGCCGCTGCCAGAAGACCGAGTTGTTCACGAGAGGCCGTTCGCAACTACCGGCATCGACTATGCTGGTCCGTTGTACGTGCGCCGTGGTGAGTCATCTCCGAAGGTATGGATAGCATTGTTTGTGTGTGCCACCACCAGAGCAGTTCACTTGGAGGTGGTCGATAGTTTAAGTACCGAGTCATTCTTGATGGCATTTCGGAAGTTTGTCGCGAGACGTAGTTTGCCGTCTCGGATCAGGTCTGACAACGCTACAACGTTCAAGGCGGCATCTGACAAACTGAGTGTGCCATGGATGTTCAATCCTCCAGCTGCACCATGGCATGGAGGCTTCTATGAGCGAATGGTTGGTACAGTGAAGAGTGCCTTGAAAAAGGTAATGGGAACAGCTTTTCTGAAGGTTCAGGAGCTTGAGACCATCTTGTATGAGGTTGAAGCAGTGGTGAATAGTCGTCCGTTAACTTATGTGTCTGATAGCCTGGATGAGCCACCAGTAACCCCTGCAATGATGATGGGTAACATTTGGATGTCGTCAGCGAAGCCAGCAGGTACCCCGGACGCTACGCATATGTCAGCGAGATTGCGTTACCTCAGTCAGACACTGAAGCATGTCAAGAATCGTTGGGAGGTGGAGTACCTAAGTCAGCTGAACAAGCACCAACAGACCATGTCGCGCCCTTTAGCTGTGGGTGATGTTGTCTTTGTTCTCGATGATACCAAGCGCAAACAGTTCTGGCGTTTGGGACGGATCATCGAGTTATTCCCTGGTCGAGATGGCAAGCGTCGTGTTGCCAAGGTTAAGTTGAGTACCAGTACCCTGTTGAGGCCGATCCAAAGGTTAGTGCCATTAGAAGTATCGTCACAGGACGTGGCTCCTGGGCTTGCCGATACCGCTCAAACTGCTATCGTCCCTCAGCAGCCAGCGTATGAACCGCCAGCACCGTTACCACCACCACGGCAGCAGGAGATGACGCGTTCTGGGCGCGTAGTCAGAGCCCCGGATCGTTTTTGACTTGTGTGCATTGTTGTACGGCGGTGAGAAGCCCTTTGGTGGGGAGAATGTTGTAAACCACCAGTTCTCAATTGGGAAAGGCCTTCGCGCTTATGGCATTGTATTCGTTGAAATGTTGTATTTCGACTCCGCCGTACCGCTGATGTTGCTGCATGGCATACGCTATATGCGTTGTGTGCGTTTTGCTGTATACGCTGTTATGTCCAGTTTTATATGCTTATGTTTTTGCATGTACGCTGTTTCTGCATGCTATAAATAGCTGGTGTTATTAGTGTTCATTGTTAATTATCAGATGAAGTGGAATATACTGTGTAAAGGAAAAGAGTTGTCCTCGTGCCGTGTGGTCGTACGATCCTGACAATTTAGAGAATCTTAGAGGGTTCATAACATACATAGTCATTCTTATTCACGACTCATTGGCTAGTACAGTCGTTACGTACAGAACGAGAGAATCGCCGATCCGACCTGTTCATTCTATGACTATGCACGTGACGGACGAACTCGCACGTCATAAACGTCGAGGAATCATCGACGACGATGACGACAATTATGTGAATGTGTCATTTCGCAGGCTTTGCGAATGATTTCACGGCGGATTTTCAAATGGGCACCGAGTGATGCAGCGTGAGTCGGCAGATTTTCAAATGGGCACTAAGTGTGATGTGTGAGTAGCTAGTGCAAGTGCGGCGCTGTGCCGCGAGTAGTCCGCAACTTCGCCAACGCATCTCAACTGATGGTGTAATTGCATAACCTCTATGATAGGTAAAGAGTGGATAAACACGTTTATCTACTCTTGCTATCACTAGTACATTACTTATGTACAAAATAATGAATTGAACAGGTTAACTAGGTTACATATTGCCCGCATAAACAAATCATACGGGGATCATGCATCTGTCAAAGATCGTTAACCAGAGTTGGATGTTGGTGGCGAGGTTGAGGCATTCCTGAATCGGCACATTCAGAGGCTTGAGGTCTTCTTTGGTGCTGTACATAGGCACCGGCGGATTCTGCTCGAAAAGCAGTGAAATTGGCAGAACCATACAAACCTTATGGCGGGCAATTCCTCGAATTCTGCTCCATTTCTTTATCCACATACCAAACATGCATGAAACTTACCAGAAAAAGTACCGAGTTCTGCCAATTTTTCTGCCGGCATAATCCGCCGGTGCCTAGCTGAACATGATTGTAAATCCCAAATGTTATAAATACAGTCAGACCTCGCTTATCCGGTCCTCTTTTATCCGGATCCCTCGCCATCCGGAAGAAAATCGCTGGTTACCGATTTACAACATATGCCATGCATACATGCAGTATGTTTGTTCGATTATCCGGTTCCCTCGCCTATCCGGATATTTTTGTGGAAAACGGATGTGTGCGGTTATGCGAGGTCTGACTGTAATGCCGTTGACTCGGACAACGGCTGGCGATCGGATGCACTAGCCTTTGGCCATGGCATGGGGACTCTTGACGACCTGATGGTTGCCACCAGAAAGCGTTTGAATAAGATCGATGAATGTGGATGAGTGCAGAACGGTGACTTTCATTCCATCCTCTTTTTTAATTCAGGATGTGCTGGACGCTTCCTGCCGCTTCAGAACGAAATGCGCTTGGGGCAAACCACCACAACTCAGAATTTCCTGATGGCGGTCGAACACCGAGACGTCGAACAATAACAAATCAATAATTCTTGAGGCTGTGGTGGAATCTGTCTAAGGCGACCACTCAAGGGACCTTCCGAATGTGGTCCCCTTGAGCAGGTGGTCTCCCTATGGCTGGAAATAACACCATTGGGTTCCAGTTGTAGTGGTCCTCTGGGACAGGTGGTTGCCTTGACAGGTTTTGCTGTACATCTTGTAAATTTGTAAAAAAATATATAAAAAAGTACTGAAATGTTGAAACATACTAGAAAGGAACCAAATCCTGCCTGCCTTTCTGTCAGCACTATCCGCCAAGAGCTAGACGCTAGGGTGGTGATGTGCGGCGAGTGAAGTAGATCGGGCAAACGTGCATTGCGGAATAGTGCAATCATTGGACTGATATGTCCGCGGTCCGACATGATCGATAAATTATTAGATGATCAATTCAGACCCACGGGAGGGGATCAGTCGGATGACAGTGCATACTTCACACGGAGATGCAGTTGGTACATGGCCAATGCTCAAACTCTGTCTGCAGACGTGGAACAGACGGTCTTTGCAACGAGAGTTGTCCGGTCCCTAGCGGACTTTATGACCTGCTTTGAGATGGCTGTAAACTTGTTTTGCTCCACACTAGCAAAGGTGCACAGCACCTCTTGATTCCCAGTCCGCATTCAATCACGTCTTCACGGAGGTTTCTCGCATCGATTGTGGCTTGCCGAAGACTGCTCGCGGGTGAAGAGCGTCCCCACTTGCTTGCCACTGACTATGTCCAGCAGTAACCGGGTGTGCTGCTGTCCTGGCGTGCAAGACTTGCCATCTGCAATGACAACACTGACGCCGTGTCTGGCTGCAAACATGGCCGACTCCACCTAAACAGCACACAACCAGCAAACCCACAGCAGGAACTAGTATCGACTGCCATCTCCAATGCCCAAATGAAAGCATGTGAACAAGAGCTCCCCCAAAGGTCATTTTAAAACACACACTCTACATCCATTCAAATACTGTAGTCCTGTGAGCTTTGAAAACTTGATTTTGACCGAATCTAGGCTCCAAACCCACTTGTAATTGGATTTGGGACCTGCTTCTCCGGTCAATTTTGCGATGATATACCTGATTACCTGTCCTATTTTTTAAACCTGGCTGAATTTCTAACTTCTTGTCATGTACTTTGAAGTAACCTTCCAACCTGAAATCATGTGAGGGCAAGGGAGAACTGCAAGGAGAACACTAGGCCCCCGGACGCCCGGCACGATTGTTTTCACTATTCCTCTGTGACCGAAAAGAAATAAGTGTGCCCGGCTTAGATTAATGCACGCGTTGCAGAGACTCAAGAATCATAAGTTCCATAACGGTTGGCTATATGCAGTGAATAGAGAAAACATGTTACCGTATTATCTCTAATAAGTTATAAGCACGGTCCTTTATTTTTTCAATGTACCTCCGCCCCGTGCTATTAATGGAGACGTTCCTTTATTGGAGACTGTTCCATTATTATTTCAACCTCATTTCAGAGGCATGTTGCCATGCCAAATTCATGTATGACACACACATTTCAGGTTTTTTTTCACCGGTACAGATAATGAATTTACACAGTGTGCTTATAATGGAGACTGAGCACTTTATTTTTTGAATGCCGCCCCAAGGTGTTCTATTATTGGAGACGTGCTATTATTGGAGACTGTGCTCATATTAGAGATAATACGGTATGTCCAGATACCAAACATGAATATTGAAGTTTTCCTGTAGTCTGCTGGCCTAGAGCCACTCTTTGGACCCACCACCATACCCGTTAGACTTGGTTCTACCAAGATCAACATAGAATCACTCGTTGGACCATCCGGTGATCGTCAGGCCACGTAGCCCGTATGGACCTAAATATTTCGACCTAGGTTCAGCATACACACAACGACCATGATGATAAGCACCAGCCATCATACATATGCACCCCCTAAAAGAGGGGGAGGGGGGGGACCAGCTATGCCCTGATCGTACCTTGGACTTCATTCCACCCAGACCCACATGATAAGCACCAGCCATCATACATACGCACCCCCTAAAAGAGGGGGGGGGTCCAGCTATGCCCTGATCGTACCTTGGACTTCATTCCGCCAAGACCCACGCTGGACGAGGTGCCGTAGCTCACGCCAATGTCGGCAGCCGTACTGCCCGATGCCACACGACACGTCGGCACGAGCACCGAGTCATCACCGCCAGGCGGTCCGGTGAAAACACCCGGCGTGTCGGATAAGTAGATCAGCATTCCGGCGTGGAGACGACGCGCCAGGATGGCAGCCATGCGGTCGTTGTCGGCAATGCTGTCGACCTGTGAACACATGCACATACACGCCGCCTTAGGATCAGTTTACACCGTCATTGAAACTCATGTCATGGATGCACTCAATTCAGTGCAAATATAAGACCAGTGTATGTACAAGCATGGGTGTCTAAGAATAAGATCCTCAGGCTGCGTACAGTGCTCTATGTCCGGTAGACAGAGCTAGTACAATAGTCAGTACTTACACAGCAAAGACATAACCAAGTCATTTTCTGCCGTTACTCAAAGTTTCGTGTTGAAAACGCTCATCGTCAGACAGCACGGTGTACACTAGCATACCTTGGACTTCATTCCGTCACATATTTTACCCAATCAACTCGAGTCGAAACTTGTCGCAGGACGAGTTTCAGACTGGTCAAGCAGATCGAGTTCAATCTCACCCTATCCCAGAATGGACATGCACATGAACGTACATATCTGTAAAGGACGCAACAGAGTTAACTCCAATACAAAACTGTATCGGATACATTTCTCCATCTCATGCTGACGATGATGAAGTGCATACAGAACAGGGACACTCGCTTTCTTGTTCTCAACATGCACAGACGGTGTGGCAAAACAGTAAACTCACTTACTATATCAAGGTCCACTCCAGCAAGAGGCCTGTGACTGCCTGGCATGCTGAAGCAGCCATTCACAATAGGAATAGCGTTCAACATCACCAATTCCGTCAGTGTTTGCACAAGTCCAGCGCTGCGATCCCCGGTCAGGTCGCTCTCTTGCAGTGGAAGCTGCAGGTGTGCCAGCCAGGGTAATGTCAAGGGCAAACACAAATGTGCACGCACATGCACGTACACACACACACACACACACACACACACACACACACACGCACACGTTTTGGCGCTCTTTTGCACGGGGAAAGAGGAGGATTGTACATTGCATGGCCCGTGCATGCTAGTATGCATTTCGGAGACTACTTGAGTGGCACCCACTTTTAAGTCTTAGGCTCATTGAATTTTCTGGCCACTTTCATTCAATACAGTCATTGTGCCTCAAATCTAGTGAATATCTAGCCTTTCAAAGCTTAATAAAAATTCTGTAAAATTGGACAAATTGAACTACATGTAGGGAGAGGAGAAATTATTCTCTCCTGTCAGATCTTCAGGGCATAAAGAAGTCTTCGAGCAGTGGAGCACTCTCCTTCTGTGTATCTCGGTGATAGTAAAACGTCAGTACAGTAGAAACACACACCGAAGACAGTGGAGCCGAACAACACCCAGCCTGATTCACTATGGATGGCACAGCCTAAAGTCAAGAACGTCGGTTTTGGTGTTTGGCAGTTTTGGCGATACATGTATGTAGTAGTGTGTGTGTATACGATCGAGCATGAATTCTTTCTCAGAACATGCTATTAGAATGCAGCCAAGTTGCTCATAAATGTAGATAAGAACATCCCAGCCTGACGTCTTCAAAACGTTCTGGGGGGGGGGGGGGGGGGGGAGGGGACTCTATTGTATAACGTACCTCCAATGGCCGCACAGATCTGTACTTCATAGTCGAGGTACATGTACTCTATATCATAAATCAAACGACTCGAAACGTATACGGAGGGTCCTCAGAAAGTACTTTTTTTAAATCCGCAACCAAACAGTGAAGTATGTTACATCCACTGAGGGTACGTTTTAAGTATATACTGAAAATCTACTGTAGCTACAAGTAGATGCAGTTACCTCGGCTACCTCCAGGCCATGTTTGGAGAACAGTGATTGGCAGAGAGATGTAATGTGGCATTGACCAACTGCACAGCATGTTGTTGAATTCCGCCGTGTGTCCTACATGTGATGCCAATGCACAGAGCAGACTTGAGTCCAATCAATCGCTTACTACGGAATATGCACATGCACGCGTGCGTGCGCACGCACACACACACACGCACACGCACACCAAGTGCATGTGCACCCTCCCCTCGCCACCCCCCCCCCCCCAGGCACACACATGCACATGTGCGCACACACACACACACACAAACACACGTGCGCACACACACACACAACTGTGGATACGTGCAAATCACACAAGTACTAGACTATCATCTCCTGGCTGTGATTTCCCTAGCCTTAAAGCCCTCAGTAGTTCTCAACCGTGGATCTGCGAATCAGAACAATAGCCACCATCCATCATCCATGCTAATCCTACACAATGTCAGAAAAGAAAATTTAGAGGTTTTGCCCAGCTCAATCTGTTTTGCTTTTCATGAGCAGCACGGAAATCGCTTGCAGGCTGAACAGTGGTCTAGGTTACAGTCTGTTGGAACCCGTGCCTGTTTAGGATCAAGATTTCTGTGCAGAGAAGTGACTATGGAGTGGCATATCCCCCTCCCCCCCCCCCCCCTCGAACTAAGTTTTATTTTATTGTTTAGATAGCGAACTTCGCTTCTCAACTCCAAACTCCAAAAACGGTCTCTTCACTGCGATCTAAATTCAAATTTACATTACAGTGATAACACCAAATTTTCGGGCCTGGCCCATCATCGGGAATTGCGGACAATTAGAAAAGTTTGTAGATAGTGTATTTACATATCGGGAGATACATACCAGAGCAGGGTTGTCGCTGCTGCTGCCACTGCCTCTTGCAGAGTGCTGTTGCTTGCTGAGAACATGCCTGCCTACTGCTACTGCACCGCTGATGACCATGACGACACGCTTGCCAGAATGCTGCAGTTCAGCAACCTGCAATCAAATCCGACGACGGTCGTCAGTCACTTTTTTTAGGGGTTGTGGACCAGTATGCACCATCAGGACGGTGTCGACATGTCCCTGTACTGATTTCTGATCCTCTTTACACTGGGACAAGGGGAGGGGGGGGGGGGCACCGTTCATGCTAGTGGGTCCTCCATCTTGTAACCCACTGCCGCTGTCATGCATTGTACAAGCAGGGAGTCGCAAAATGTTTTACGACTCCGTGCTTGTATATACCCAGGGCCTGCTCTAGACATTCAACACAGCCCGGTCAGAGTGTACCTGGCGCATGCAGGCCAGCCGGGTCAAGCCGGGTCAGATCATCCGGCAGAAAAACAAACAAAAAGCCTGCTCAAAACTTGCAACTGTGTCAAAAGCTATAGCCAAAGTTACGCTTTTGACTGCCTGCCCCATCGACTTTCAATGTCCTGACTTCCTGCTCGCCGCTGGCCAGATCGCACTCGAACCAGTTGGCCCCAGTTGACCCTAGCTAGGCCCCGGTGTAATATGCCCGAAACTTTGCCGAAAATGCTTTTGGGAAATTCTCGTAAACCTTGCCGAAAATGCTCCCAAACCTTGCCGAAAATGCTCGGAAAATGCTCACTTTTTTGTCATCCTCAGCACACGCCGTCAAAACCAGGGAGTCAGAAAATACTCAATAAGAGACTTGCTCGAGTCTGCCATGGTAAACAATTCATAAACTACTCAACAAGAAGCTAACCCACGGAATGCGGAAGTAACGTTCTTGTTTGGGAAGTTTTTCTTCTCTCAATTTTGATACACAACGGCCAAGTGCTCCGTTTCCCCCAAAATGCTGCATCACGAGCCCAAAGTGCTGGGTTCGCGGATTGTACCGAAAATGCTCAAAAAAATGCCGGCATATTGCACGGGGGCCTAACCGGCCTAGCTGAGTTTCTGTCGCTTGTGTACGGTTGCGCTAGATTTGCATGCAACAGATGGGGTCCGCGAGTTGTAAAATACCGGTATTTTAGGAATCCATTGTGAGTAAGTAAGTAATAGTTTGAGACATTTTTCAGCCGGGTCAGACTGGACCCGGTGTTATCTGTTCAGCCAGGTCGTGCAGTTCCCCAGCCGGGCGCGTGACCCGGCTGACCCGGCTCTCCAGCAGGCCCTGATACCGTGTTCATGAGTTACAGAACTGCCAGTATAAATATTAGAGCTCAAACGGTTAGTCCGATTAACCGGTTGCAGACCGGTTACGAAGAATTAAGATAACGGTTACGCAGTAATTTTTCAGTCGATTTTCCAAGTATCAGGTCGTTGCAAAGTATGCACTTTCGCAGGCTGCCGCACGCGTACGCAATTACTGAGCTGTCAACTCGGTCATATCTGGTCTCTTGGTGTGAGAGTACCGTAAAGTACCGCCAGAGCGCCCCACCATCTCATCCTTTCGTGGTCGTATTGTGGAGGTGGTCTGCTGTCTATAGGTCATACGACATGAACCGTGTACACATATTGCACGTTTTGCAGTCAATCCGTACCTTCGAGCGGACACAAGCTCCACACAAAAACCTGCCAAGTGTGACCTTAGGACACTAAGATTCTTACATCGTACAAACTTCGTTGCACTCTGCCATACGATTTCCCTTCCTCTGGCTGTAAAATCAAGGTGGGGCGCTCTCGCGAGACGGGGCGCTCTGGCGGTACTTAACGGTATGTATGAATGAGCATGCACGAGAATGTACATATGTGCGCTGTACTGAATAGGGTACGTTTTTTGAATGAGTATAGTCAAATATACGGTTAACAAAGAGTCCGCAGGATTGCCGTGGCTTATAGGTTATAACCGTTAAACCGACCGTTAGCTTAGCAGTTAACCGTTAGTGGTAAAACCGTGACCGTTTGAGCCCTAATAAATATTACCATGAATGCTGTGCTAGTACCAGTGAACTGGTCAGATCATTATCTTGGTTGGTCGCCCAGCACAGTGAAGTCACGTGATGCGTAGCCTGACAGTTCAGAGGAAACAGGTGCTCTAAAACCGTGATCATTCACTTCAGCGTTGTTGAAGTCACAGACTAGCGACTCACACTCACAGGCCACGGGGAATAGTCCAAACGCAATAGTCCTCACCTGGCCTACTATGTCCTCGAGTCGACTGCGATCAGGTGCCTGCTGATGGTCGTCCAGCACAACGGCACTCCCTAACTTCACGACCAGAACTGCACCGCTACTAGCGCTCCTTGTCGACTCGGGGAAGCCAGCCGGCGTGGGCTGCACTGGCGATGATGAACTGCAGCAGTCCACCAGCTGAGTGTGGGATAGAGCGGAGGAACTCTGGGCCATTGTTCTCTATCCTCAACTCACTGACTGCTGGCGTTAGATACTGTCTTGATGGATTCGACAGCACTGGGCAAATGGATGCCAGTCGAGGGAGCCAAGCTCCTAGAAAAAAGTCTATTATTGTAGTAGTCGCTTCTCTAGAGGCAAAGCTTCACGGCAGTCGGCCATGGGAAGCACAAACAGTTCCCATCGGCCATCGCGAGTCAAATCGAGACTTCAATTTCAAAGAAAGACTAAGTGAATCAAAAACAAAACAAAATTAATAATGAAACGGTGCACGTGCGCCCGAGCTGTAGAGAAGGCTAGGCACGTGCAAGCAAGAGTCCATAATCCCCGGCGCGGCATACATCTGATACATGTACTACTATTACGTATTAGTAGTATTACTATCCTAGGCCTAGGCCTACAAGGCCCTGGGGGATTCATTTTTTACGAGAAACCACGAACCTCGAGAACAGAATACTGCATGATAGAGAGGTGGTTGCAGACGCAATAACACTGTGGTGGTGAAACTGGAGCATCTCCGCAGACCTGAGCTGAGGTCTCGGCTTCAGCGACATTAAATTTAGCGACACTAAAATTTATTATTTGTATAGAGGGTGAAAAATGGAAAGATTTACTTGTAATAAAGAATTTTTTAAAGATGATACATGTGATAGAGCCTAAAAGGGGGAGCCAGGACGGTGCAAGCCGAGGGGGTACCCCGGGGTGTTCCGGGAGGGTTCAGAATCAGAGGGATTATGGACTCTATTGGTGCAAGCCATGCAGTTTTGGTTTTGATGACTACTAGTATGTATACTACCAAGATACCGGCTACAGTGCTGGCAACTGAAATCCGACTCACTTGGATTTCAGTTGCCAGCACTGTACATGACTTTTGTACTACTACTGTCATGCATGCACGTGATTGTATGAATACTGCATGACTGATGTAGTACCAACAATTTCTGAGTCAACTAAGCCGATATTTCTCACTAACATACTCCCACATACGCACGCACCCTCCCCTCCCTCCCTCCCTCCCTCCCTCCCTCCCTCCCTCCCTCCCTCCCTCCCTCTCTCTCTCTCTCTCTCTCTCTCTCTCTCTCTCTCTCTCTCTCTCTCTCTCTCTCTCTCTCTTTCCCCTTGCACTTCTAACCAGTCTCCTACTCCCGATCCCCACACCTACACTTTAGCTTTTTAGTGACATTGAGTATCGGCCTCTATCCCATCCTTGGTCTGCTGTACTTCACGGTGAATTGACTATGCACTTGAACACGGTTTAGTTGCATGCAGAGAGGTTTCGCTCTACGGAATTATGAATGAAATTAACGTCGAAACTGCACGGAATTTTCATACGTAAAAATCAGAGCTGTTGGCCCCGGGTTTCGCTCTACATGATTTATCCACGACTGCGAAACATGCATTGTTGCTTTGGAGACGCGTTGGCTGCATGCGCTAGGCCTTGGCGGATAATGCCGGCAGAAAAATTGCCAGAATTCGGTACTTTTTCTGGTAAGTTTCATGCATGTTTGGTATGTGGATAAAGAAATTGAGCAGAATTCGAGGAATTGCCCGCCCGCCATAAGGTTTGTATGGTTCTGCCAATTTCACTGCTTTTCGAGCAAAATCTGCCACCTTTTCGAGCAGAATTCGCCATGGGCTAGCATGCGCCCACCACATGCACCACGAGCAGAAACCGCGTTTTCCATTATATTTTGCACGTGGTGTACAGTGTGTGTACCTTGTGTTCCGCGCGGCTTGAACGTTGCCATGGACAAATCCGGAAAATATTTCAAAAAGTCCTACGGAGGACCCAACGTAGGAAACAGCTTTCCTACGGAAATCCGTAGAGAGATTTACGTATGGAAGTTGCCCTTGCTCCCCGGCGCGTATGACATACGGATTTTCATACGTAATTACGTAGAGCGAAACCTCCCTATTGTTTTCCTTGAGGACAATGGCAGAAAAAAGTAGAACAAACTGGTGAATGATAGAGGGGAGAATGCCAGCAGAAAATCGTGTATGGGCACACCGTTGAATTAACACAAGCTTGCCTAATACAGCTGTACAATTGATTTTCAGAATAACTCCATCACCTATGACCAGCATTTGGTGTGCAATTCCATTTGGAGACAGACAGACAGACAGACAGATAGAGACAGAGATGCAGCACTATTACCTACTGAATAAAGAAAATCTTTGCTCTGAGTTCAAATTGCAACATAAGAAAAGAAAAAAAGATCTTGCCAGAAAATTGCGATGGCAAGATTTCTTTTTTATACTATTAAATCAGAAAAAGATACTCCTCCACCAAAATTGTGTTTTGTTTGCCTGTAAAAGAGGTTTTATCATTAAAAAAAACCGAAAACAAAAAAAAACAAGGAGATAATCGCTCAGCATTATAATTTACAAATGCGCACACTGAGTAATTGTTTTTCATAAAGCACGTAAGAAGAGTCCGCAATAATTCCAAGCCATTCCTACGCTGGGAACAACAGTATATTGAAGTCACGCAAAAAAAACCTCACTGCCTGCAGATCTGGAAAGCGAGCCAGTCAATGATACTGGCAGGAGGTCGACGGCACGGCCATGTGACCTCCTCTACAGCACGTTATAAGAATAGGCACTAAAAACAGGAGATAGTATCATTCTCACAGTCAGTGTAGCATTTAGTAATTCTGTCCCCCATTCATGGTTCAATGGCCTGGCTCTGCTAGCAGCGGTGACACCGTGCTAACTCAGACAACTTGACGGCCAGGGTTGAGTGAGATGGATGGACTCAGCGGTGTCAACAGGCTCCATTCCTGCAGCGACATTAGTTACTTCGAAGTAGTAACCAGGCATCGCAAGTCACTTGTAAATGCATCCAGTGAGTTCGATGATGCAATAGAATGGCAAGGGCTACAGGCACAGCACTGCCCTACTATGCACACCCGCATGCACACACACACACACACACACACACACACACACACACACACACACACACACACACACAAACACACACACACACAAACACACACACACTAACATTCCATGAGTCGCCGCAAAGTTGATCAACCGGCAGCATCAGGGCCAGCCGACCTGGCTTCACCAAAACTTCGAGCTTCCTGACGCTGCGGGCAGTGGCCGATTACAAACGGCGGAGAAATCCACTTCCTTGAAAAACTGCAAGCGATGGCTGGCGTAGTGAACAGGGAGGCCAATAAGGGACGGACAGAGAGCCACAGACACAAGAAGAATGAGAAGCATCAATACGTAGCCTGCAATGATCGATACCCAGTGTGACCATGTGACGAACATGCCCAGAGAGTTGAGTGATCAAGGTAGAGGATCTTGGTTGAGCTAGCTACAAATACCGTGAAGGCTGCATGCAGACTATCCATATTCATGCATTCCCTTGCACAAAACCCGGACAGTGCAGACCACAGAAGTTCAGATCGAGCCGAATAGAGCAGATGCAGAGGCGAGCGACTTGTGCTCATGCATGTGTGCACCGCAGTTCTGGGCCAGGACAGCTATATTGTGGTAACCTTTTTTTTCCCCGACTATACGTCGAATCTGATTATAAGTACTTCAGTAGCGCCCCCATTTTCAGGTCTCTGTCGTATGTTTTTATTGTGTCAAGGCCCAGGCGCAGCTCAGTAGATCTGACCCGTCACAAAGTGTTCACAGACCGAAAATCCCATTCGCTGCATCCATGTTACCCTTGTGCCAGTTTTTTAAGGCGTGACTTAGGCCATCATTTTTTATAGCTATGTTTCGCGTCGTCCGCACGCATACGTTTTGAAGTTTTCGGAAAAAAATAAAAAAATCTTACATGCACGGTGAGTGTACGATCGTGCGAGTCATCAGTGTGGACTGGTTGCATACGGTGAAGCTGAGATTCAGAAATGGCCTCTAGGCCACCGTTGGTAAATCGTTTGTTCGGCATCTGGGAGCAATATTCTATGAGCTAACACCAGACAGCATTGATCGCCTCAAGCTGAGAGGATGCGTCGTTCCGGAGGTCTTTGCACCGCTGCTGAAGTCTGAGTACAATAATCCAGCGAAGCATAGGCACCAACGGTTGCCTCCTCTGTCCAAAGTGAATATTTACTCATGCTGATAACCCAGATGTTGTCCTTCGATGTACGATTTTTCTTTCGAATGTACACCATGCACGAGCTATTGTGCTATGTACCGTGCATACACCTCTGATGAGCCTTTTTTTATTATTTGGCAACTTTTTATTTTTTTCCACCTCTCGCATATGATTCTGGAAGTTGAACTGACGCGAAACATAGATATAAAAAAATGATGGCCTTATAAGTTATACTGAGGCATTTTCGCAGAACTTGAACTCCACCCCCACCCACTTCTACAGCACCAGAATGCTACATTCTGTAAAAAAAGAAAAAAAAAGAAAAAAGGAAGTACATAAAGTTACGAGTTATGACTAACTGTCTACCAAAGCAATCAGATCATACACAGTCAGATCATGTGTACAAAGTTACAGTCTGCCCTTGGGCCTAGTGCACACACTAATACAAATACACTCTTACCTCGGTTATCCGGACCCCGAAGTTACGGGCACTTTTGTCAACCTTTGGGCGAATTTCAGGGGAAATACTACTACTCTTTTGTCACTTTTTGTGGAAATAGTGACTTCACATGCCATATCTATGGCCTTTCCCCATCAAAATGTATGTGATTTCGGAGCTACGGACATTTAGAAGTTACGGGTAGTACCCGGTCGCGGACAGCCCGGATAAACAAGGTATAAGTACAAACAGCAGTGACACGTTAACTCACAAATCCGGCTGTTCAAACTGGCCGGCAGCAGCCGGATAGAGGCTGGAGTAGACGCGGTCATCGCCCGTTCCGTGAATGGCGTACGCGTTGAAGTGCGTCACACTGGGCGGGAAGTACTCGAGCGGAATGAGCGCCTCGCCAGTCCACCGGCCACCGGACTTATCAACGTTGGCGGTGAACTCCAGAGGCAGCATGTGCTGGTGGTAGGAGCAACAGTCCACAGGCAATGAGCATTGTACAGTCATCTCAGTATGGCTGGCATGCACGAATGATGTAATCATGACGTAATCATGACACATACCGTAAAGTCGCGGATAAAAGCCGGGCTAATAAGCACATAAGCCGCTTTCTGCATCAGGCTTTAATGCAAACCAGGCTTGTATGCAAACCATGCTTATATGCACCACACTTGCATAGAAGCCAGGCTTCTACGCGCGTAGATCTACCACTGACTACCGGTATGGTGGCAGTTTTACTATGCACTGTACATAGCGCATGCAGTCTTGACCTACCCGATCCGCGCTTGCATAGAAGCCAGGCTTCTACGCGCGACAGGCTTACATGCATTTGACCCGTTTGATTTTCAGGCTTCTATCCGCGATGTGCTTGTATGCAAACCCGGCTTTTATCCGCGACTTTACAGTACATCATAACGACTGTATTGCATTGAGTCGATTTGCGTGGCAAACAGGTGCTGGTGACGTCACACCATACAAACACCTCCTTCCGTCGACACAAACTTCCGATGACAAGGGAAGCACTCCCTGGGTAATTCCGAGTTTTGCAATGACAAACATGTTACACAATCACTCTCAGGCTAAACACCGTACAGTGAAGGCTCATCCCAGGAATATCAAGTCTCATTCGACAAGGCGAACTGTTGGACTGTGATTAGTGTCCGGATTCCAGATAACACAACACACAAAGAACGCTGCCAGTACAACTGCGCTCGGTGAAATCCGACCCAGAGTGCATATTTAGGGCACTCAACTTGCACGGCCCTCTACGCCCTGGAAGTGGCACGGATGCGGCTGGACATGCACATGTACAAATTACAAATACAATGATGTAATTATAACTGGTCCAGGGCGCCAGCCTTGCACTTTGGGTCGGATTTCAGCGAGCGTAAGTGTAGTTCTCACCTTCTTTATGCAGCGAACACCTTCCAGGGTCAGAATCAAGTGCTGTCCAAGCCTAGCACACCAACAAACAGCAGGGACACGTGAACACATCACCACTGTGAGAGGAAATACATTATAAAAGACAGCGCAAATACACTGTACAACCAGATCCAAGCTTTTGGGCACTGAGCAATACTCAAGCGACAGCTCATTTCAATGCACACACACACACACACACACACACACACACACACACACACACACACACACACACACACCATTGGACCATTGGACGCCCATCGCCGCGATGCTACAACAGAAGCCATAGCAGCTTGTGCTGGGATTGCACCATTCAACTGCTTGCAAGGCTGAAGAATTGACCGCCACTATTCAGCCTGGTCTACACCACACAGCTATGAAGTGGCTTTTTCTGGCCAGTGAATCCCTACTTTTTGGTCTTTTTATTATTATTTTTTTCCGCACACACATCACACCACATACTCCGACATGCACTGGCTGTTGGTAACCTGGTAACCACCCAGGAGAATGAAAGAAAAGTCAGGAAGAGTCTGAGAAAGAGAAGAAAGATGTGTGCGACCATAATCGTCGGGACTCGAACCCGCAACCTATCGATTGGAAATCGCTGCACATACCACTGCACCATATGGGACACACACACACACACACACACACACACACACACACACACACACACACACACACACACACACACACACACACACACACACACTAGGGAGGTTTTGCATTCCGAATTTCGGAATTATTTTCGACTGTGCTTTTCCGAAAAAAGCGCGTTCCGAAAAACGGTATTTTCAGTGTTTTGCATTCCGAAAATCTGATTCGACTTCGTTTCCAAGGGTTGCCATGCAAAACAAAATGGAGAGCGTCGAAGGGGTTGAGCAGGATCAGGGAGTCGTAAAATACCTGGTATTTTACGACTCCCTGAGCAGGATCAAATCCATGTGCGCAGGCCAAACTGTTTTTGGGTGTGGTTCGAAGACGAGGACGTACTGATGGTGGACCAAGTGATCCAACAGCTGAAGACGAGGTTGGCGAACTACTGTCTTGTACTGTCAGTAGGCTCCATGGCAAAGGAAGATAGACGGTGTGATGGAGTGTGAGAAGATTAGTCAACATGGCGAGATCAGCGAGAGCAGCAAAACCAGCAAAAATCAAAACTGACTACATACGTGGAAATTTTTTCAAATAATCGAGAGCAGCAGAAAGCAAAATACAAACATGAAAAACACTTTTTGTATTCAAATATGT